TTGTCTATTGTGTTTCTGTTGTCCGCTTTGTGGTGAATTGGCTTCCTGATAGTAGGTGTAAATGTGTTTTGATTAAGTGGAATGTCCAGTATTTCTGTGAATGAATATTAATTGAAGTTGAATGCCTTGGTACCTCTGAAGAGTCCAAGATGTCTGAAGTTGTTGCCTTAGATCTGGTTCTTGTTCCTTTAGGGCTCAGGCATGAATAGGATTTCTAACTGAACCATGGTTCCAGACAGCTAGCCCCATGATTGTGTCTTCCAGAGCGTAGCCCAGCTGCCTTTCTTTTTGGTTTAAAAGTTCTGTTAAAAATCCAGGGGTTTAGGTCCAGTATTCTAAACGACAGGGATTTTTGCTCACTCCTACATGTTTGGAAGGCAATGGAGAACAATGTTGCCAAGCCACCGCCTGTCCAAATTCTCTGACATACAGGACATACTTCTCGACAAACAATGGAGGATGAAGATGGTGTATGACTAGTATGCAGGGATGGAATCACCTCAACTACATGTAGGACAAAAGTTCCAAGTCACACACTCCACAACAGGAACATGATTACCCACACAGGTTTCAAAAATGAATAGAGAGTCCAGGTCTTATGAAGTCATGACATCAAATAGAGAAAAGGTATAGAAACAGAAATTAAGTTAACAAAGAAGATATGAGGTTATGTCAGATAATAAATAAAACTAAGAGCCAAGCTCAAAACAGAAGACTCAGAAGGTAGGTGGAAAATTAAATATGAGTAACAGAGATGGTTTATGAAAAACGTTTGGCAGTTAATTTGAAAATAAAGACCAAAGTCTTCAAGAAGTGCATTAGTAGCAAAAGAGCGGTAAAACGAGTTGTCAGGCTAATTAGGGATTATAAAGGGAATTTACACATACAGGCGAGAGTCATTGCTGAGATGATAAATGAATGCTTTGTTTGTGAGGAAAATGCCGCCCAGAACACAGTGACAGAGGATAAAACTCAGTCACTGGAAGGGTTTAGAATTGATGAGGGAGTGCTGGATAAACTGTTGGCACTTTAAGTTGATAAGGTACCAGGATAAGATACATCCAAGGATATTGAAGGAAATTAAGGTGGAATTAAAGTGCCAATCATATTTCAATTTTTCCTGGATTTGGGGGTGATCCGTGTTCTAAAGAGGGTGTAAAGATCAGCCCAGCAATTACAGATGAGTCTGTTTAACAGTGTGGTGGGAAAAGTCTAGAAAAGAAAAAAAATCATATTTTTCCATCACATGGAAAACATGGGTTGATTCGGAAGAGTTTGCATGCAGTTTTTAAGGGAAAATTGTGTCTATATTGCTGGTGTTTTTTGAAGAGGTAACAGAAAGGGTTGATGCATGACTGTTGATAAGGTGTACAAGGGCTTTCAGAAGGTGTTTGATACAGCGCCATACAACAGATTCGTAAGGGAAGTTATAGGTCATGGATTAAACAGGAGAGTAGCAACATGGATATAAAATTAGCTGAGTGATAGGAAACAGAGTAATAGTCCATGGATATTTTTCAGGCTGGTGGAAGGCTAGTAATGGAATTTTCCAGGGGTTGGTATTGGGACATTTGCTTTTCCTGATATATATTAATGATCTGCACTTTGGTGTGAAGCGAGCAATTTCAAAATTTGCAGATGACGCCAAACGTGCAAGAATTGTAAACTGTGAGATGGACAGTGTGGAACTCCAAAAGAACATTGACAAGTTTGTAGAGTACTGTGGGCTAACAAGTGATAGATGAAGTTCAACGCAGGGAAGTGTGAGATGAGAACTTTGGTACACGGACATACATTATAAAATAAAGGATAGTATTCTAAAGGACGTGCAGGAGCGGAGAAACCTGGGTGAATATGTATATAAGCCATTAAAGGCAGTAGGACGGGTAAAGAGAGCTGTTAATAAAGGATACAGTATTCTAGTTTTCATTAAAAAGTATAAGCATAGGATACAGGGCAGGGAGATTATGATGAACTCTTAAGATATAAGACACTGTTAGACCTTAGCTGAAATATTGTGTACAGCTCTGGGCATTAAATTATAGGAAGAATGAGAATGCATTTAAGACAGCACAGAAGACATTTATGAGAAGGTTTCAGGGATGCGGCTTCAGGTCTGAGGAAAAATTGGAGAAGTTGGGTCTATTTCCTTTGGCAATGAGAAGGCTAAGAGGAAATGTGATAGGTCTGGACAGAGTAAATAGCAAGAAACTGTTCCCATTTGTAAATGGATTGAGAACCAGAGGTTTTAAAGTGTTTTACAAAAGAAACAAATATGAGGTCAGAAAAAGCTTCTTCTCACAATGAGTGGTTAGGGTCCAAAATGCATGGCCTAAGATATGTTGGATGCTGGTTCAATTGAGGTATTCAACAGGGTATTAAATGATAATTTAAAGAGAAACAATGTGCGGTGTTATGGGGAAAAGACAGGGTACTGGCACTAAGATAAAATGCTCAACGAGTCAATGCAGACATGACAGGTCAAATAGCCTCCTTCAACACTGTAACAATTTTGAGATTCTGTGAGGAATAGATGCCAGCTAAGGGAAAGTGTACAATATGCCAATTGTGCAGAGTGAATACAAAAGTACACACCTGTGTGACAACAGAGTGATGGAACACTAGGGTAATCAATGCACTGACGACCAACAGTAGCCAAGGGAAACACCCATAGTTCCAGAAGGTTACACCCTAACAAGATCTGGTCAAATTGCCAAAATGATAAATGGACTTTTTGATATCTGCATTTGTAAATTTTATGATCCCTATCTCTATATAACTAATCTTGTTATTACCTGATGTTTATGAATTTCAAATTATAGCACATGAGCTACCTTGGGAAAAACTATCATCTTTTAGATGATGTTCCTTTAAGAGCTAAATATGTAAATAAGTCAAGTCACCAGATGTTTTCAGAGGCTCACAGCACTGCTCAACTCTTGACACAAGCTGTGTCTAAAGAATATTCTCTACTGAATTTATTAGTTCATCTGTCAATAACACCACCGGAGATAGCTATGTAAACAATCCCCATATCTCATTTGCATTTACATTTAGATAGCACAAAATATTATTCCATCAGGTCTGCTTTCTCTCCAGGCATGCTGCCAAACCTGCTGAGTTTCTCCAATAATTTCTTTTTGTTTTGGTTTTCCAGCATCTGCAGCTCTTTCCTTTATAACATTATTACAGCCTTTTGCGCTCTAAAGGTTAATACATGGAACAGCCAATGTAAGCTTTTATTGAGGTTAAAAGGCTACAAGAGCCCATCCCAGCATAACCATCAAGGACTGGCTACACCTCACAGTATCACAGAATTGCTGTAGTGCTGAAGGAGGCCATTCAGCTTGTCATGCTTGCATCAGTTCTATTACGGAGTGCCAATCTCTGCCTTTCCCCACTTTGCTAGAAATTGTAAAAAAAAATCCCTGGACACTTCTTGTCCACAATACCTGTGATGTGCTTTTTGGTGCTGTAAATTTTCAGAGAACCTAGGTACACTATAATTGCTAAGTCCATCTGTTGCCTGGGTTATCAGCATCTGAAATATTACTGGGGTATTAATAAAGTTAGAGGATACAAGAGCTGTATGATATGGGCTTTCATGTGATGCGCCAGAGATTTCTCTCACTCTGGAGGTCATGCAAAATTCCCAGTACCTTCTTTTTAAAAAGGTCAGTTTGCTGGGTAGGCGATTGATCTCACCCTGTCTATACAATCCACAACACAAGAATTGGGAAAGAGTCTGTTATGTTCACTGCATTTCCTTCCCAGTCACAAATATGGGCTGTGTTGATTTGTTGTGCTTTGGGGCCTGTGCATTAGCTGACCTCCAGCTGCATGAGCAGGTTATGTAGTAGCACAAAAACAAAGTTGCTGGAAAAGCTCAGCAGGTCTGGCAGCATCTGTGGAGGAGAAAACAGAGTTAACGTTTCGGGTCTGGTGACCCTTCCTCAAGGGTCACCGGATCCAAAACGTTACCTCTGTTTTCTCCTCCACAGATGCTGCCAGACCTGCTGAGCTTTTCCAGCAACTTTGTTTTTGTTCCTGATTTACAGCATCCGCAGTTCTTTTGGTTTTTATGTAGTAGCACGTTAGGGTGTGCAATAAGCCCGTGTGGCTGGGCAGTCAGTATGAGCAGGTATGCACTGAGTATGAAATAGGAAGAACTGCAGATGCTGGAGTCAGAGATAACAGTGTGTGTGTACTGGGCATATAATGGTGTGCACAGTACTTAACAGGAGTGCACTTGTCATGTATTGGGTATTTATAGGAGTGCACTGGTCATGTACTGGTATGTACTGGGTATTTACAGGGGTGCACGTGTGCACTGGGTATTTACAGGACTGCACTGGGCATGTACTGGTATGTAATGGGTTTACAGAATTGCACTGGGCATGTACTGGTGTGCACTGGGTATTTACAGGAATGCAATGGGCATGTACTAGTGCGTAGTGGGTATTTACAGGAATGCACTGGGCATGTGCTGGTGTGTACTGGGTATTTACAGGAATGCAATGGGCATGTGCTGGTGTGTACTGGGTATTTACAGGAATGCAATGGGCATGTACTGGTGTGTATTGGGTATTTACAGGACTGCACTGTATTTATAAGCAGCAAAGATCATGAGACAGCGACAAGATGATAAACGGTAATAAACTGCCGGAGAAATTTAGCAGATCTATGAAGACAGAAACGGAGTTAACGTACCGTCCTGCGACCTTTCTTCAAAATAGAAGAAGAATGATAAACAGTCTTTAAGTAGCTGAGTCGGTAACATACACCTGACAGACGCTCACCAGCTCGCGACCTCCGGCGCGTCACTAACCGACAGCAGGCGGCGCGCGGATCCATACGACTGCCCCTGGGGCGGGGCCGGCAGAGCTGCGCGCGCACCACGGGAGGATAGCAGTTGGCGCCAAGGCGAGGCCGGAGTCAGGCCTGTCCCGAGCGGTCAGTGAGTGAGGGACCGACCTCAGGTCGGTGAGCGGTCAGTGAGGGAGGGAATGAGTGACCGACCCCAGGTCGGTGAGCGGTCAGTGAGGGAGGGAATGAATGAGTGACCGACCCTAGGTTGGTGAGCGGTCAGTCAGTCAGAGAGTGACCGACCGACCAACCCACCCCCGGCCCGGTGAGCGGTCAGTGAGTGAGGAGAGAGTGACCCCGGCCCAGTGATCGGTCAGTGAGTGAATGACCCCGACCAAGTGAGAGGTCGCTGAGGAAATGATCCTGGAAGGAATCGCTGGAGGCCCAGGCCCCCAGCAGGAGCCTCGAAGTGTCAATCTCGAGCCCACGCCGCTGCTGCGGGCCAGGCCCCCTGGCCTCCCTCAGATCCCTGGGGGAGCTTCAAGTAAGAGCGGCCTGACTCACTGAAACTAGCTCACATTCCCCGGTGCTCCTGCCACCGGGGATCAAGTTCCATCTTCACTTTTAACTTTTCAATGTAGAAAAAATTCTGTACCGCCTTAGGAGATTTCGAAGCATTGCAGATAATGAGGCACTTTCTAGAGCGTAATCACTGTTGTGATGTTGGAAATGGGACAGCCAAATTGCGCACAGCGACCTCTCTCAAACAGCAACGTGATTATCTGTGTGATGTAGATTGTCTTAAATATTGACAGATAACTCACTTGCTCCTCTTGAAAATGGTGCCATCAGATCTTTTAGAACTACCTGAGCAGGTAGTTCTACCATTAAACCTCTGTTTAATGTCTTATCTGAATGAAGCTCTTCAGATAGTGCAACACTGCTTCAAGTTCTGGAATGTCAGCTTGTATTTTTGTGCTAATACCTGGAATTGGACTCTGTGATTCAGAAATGAGCGTTATCAACTGACTTGCAGCTGATGCAAACAATATGACTTCTTTTTGTGTTTGTGATTTTGATTGAAGGAATATTTATTAGCCAGGATTTTGAGGAGAACGTAGCTGCTTTGAATTTGGTTGTGTGTTATTTGACTTGTCAGAGAGACAGCCTGTACTTAATGTTGGCTAGTTTAGTTGGCTGGTTTGTGCTGTAGCGTATTGCTAGCATGTGGGGTTCAATTCCTGCACCAGCTGAGGTCTCCATGAAGGGCTCAATCTTGACCTCACCCCTATCCAGAGGTGTGGTGAGGGCAGCCATGTGATCCTCTGGGACTATGGAGTCTTTAATTTTACTTAATGTTTTATTGTTAACGCAGCACCATTGAGAGTGCAGCACTCCCATTTGGATTATCAACCAAGATTACAGGCTCACATCTCTGAAATGGGATTTAAATCCCTGTGATTTCTGACTCAAGCAAAAGTGTCACCACTCAGTGGGCTACAATTACAATGTCCACTTCTAATCACAAAATCACAATACAAAATCAATTTAAGTTATAAACCATGAACGCCTGCTACTTTACCTACCTATCACACTGACCCCTCAACCACTCAGCTATCACTCTACTCCCTGCCCACACCCAGCTGCTAGCCTAACTCCTCACCCTTCAGTTTTAAAAGCGAGTCATATTGAACTAGAAATGTTAACTCTGTTTCTCTCTGCACAGGCACTGCCAGGCCTGCTGAGTTTCTCGAGTACTTTGCATCTTAAATTAGGCACCCTTTATTTTAAGTGCATGTGCACCAAAACTGATGCAAGTCAAAATTGGCTTTCTCTCTCTTTTAATCTTCCCCCTAAAGATAGAAATCTATAAAGGTAAATACAAGCAGATTCATTTCAAAAGCATTTACCTCTGTTAGTGGACTGTGGGTTCAAGTCCTAGTGCACATATTCCAGACTGTTTTCTTTTAATGTAGTATCCAGTGGAGTGCTGTAACTGCTGTCTTTCAGATGAGATGTTAAAACAAGCCACTGCCGGTCAACTTAAGATAGATATAAAGGAATGATGGCACAACTTTGAGGAGCAAGAGAGTTCCTTACTGTCTGCTGGCCAGTATTGCAAAAACAGATTTTCTGGTCATTATCTCATTTTTTGTGGGAGTTTGCTGTGCACAAATTGGTTTCAATGTTTTGACATTCCAACCTAAATTTAATGACAACTTATAAGTGCTTTAGTGGCTGTGAAGCACTTTGGGACTCCCTAAGATTGTGAAAGGTACTGCATAAATGTAGACCTTTCTACTTCTTTTGATACTTTCTATTTGTGTCAAAATCTTTGCTAAATTATCTCAGTGGGAAAATATTTCTATAAAATTTCCATTATTCACACTATAAATGCACAATAATTTTACAGTGGAAATAGACCTCCGTAATAAATATTTTTCTTAAATTCTTTTTAAAAAAAAGTCTTCCTTTCATCTCTAATTAGCATTCAAATCCAATACCTATTCAATGTTTGAGAAACTACAGTATATTTTGGTAGCTATCCTATTTCATATGTATCTCATGTTTATACATTGCAGATATACCATGCAGGATAGCATCAAATTAGCCTCATGTGGGGATGACATTAAAATCTGGGATTCGCTTTCAATGACAGTGGTGGAACAGTTTAACCCTCACAAGAAACCCTGTGAAGTAACTTCCGTTTGCTGGACTGTTGATAATATCCTTTGGAGTTTACTGCTGTCAGTAACTATTCCATTTATGTAATCGCTTGATATTAGACAGTCCTTTGGGAATGAGGATAACTGGCTTGCATTCTAGTTTGATGGGTTCTGAGATAATTGTTGGGTTCAGTGCACGATCTGGGAGGTTGAGGGGTGACCTTATAGAGGCTTATAAAATCATGACGGGAAGAAATAAGTTGAATAGCAAGGATCACCAGGGAGGGAGAGTCCAAAACTAGGGTGCTTATTTTTAAGGTGAGAGGAGGATGGAGGGTTAGTGTGTGGAATGAGCTGCCACAGGAAGTAGTGAATGCAGGTACAGGTTCAACATTTTAAAAAAAAAAAAAAATTTGGATAAATTCATGATTAGGAAAGATTAGGAGGGATATGGGCTAAACCCCAGCCAAATGGGACTAGTTTGGTTTGGAAACATGGTAGTGTGGACTTGCTGGGTCAAAGGGTCTGTTTCCATGCTGTATGACTCTGTGGCAGTGCTCGAAGAGGTGGATAGATGAGTTGTTGGGAGGTTTGTACATGCGGCTGATCTTGACTTCACATGTTCCTGACAAAAGCCTTTAGATGTGTTTGGTGCCTTCCAAATGACCACCCCACTATTTTTGGATGATCTCAAGCAAGGGACTTATGACAGTGAATGGGAGTGTTTTAACTTCTTCGGGATGCTTTGAGAACCTGCCCTTAAATGTTTTCACTGTCCTCCTGGAGTCTCCTGCCATGACAGAGTTATAAGGTGTGCAGTTACTTCTGGAGTGCAGTACCAAGCATGTGGAGCTGGTTTTCAGTGGTTAGTGTCTCAGTGCTGGGCGTGTTGCCTTGGGAGAGGACAGTGTCGTTGGACAGCATTTCTTGACACTTGATTTGGAGGATGGTGTAAAGACCACTGATGGTCCTCAGTGTTCTGAGGTGTCTGCTGTTCAAGTCTCTGTAGGAACATAGGGATCACTGTCACCTGGTAAACCACCACCCTCATCTCAAGATTGTTGAGATTCGGGTCCACAAGTCCTCTGATCCGCTGTTGACTTGAAAAATGAGCTAGCACATAAGAGGCCACAATGAATTTCATCAGCTGTACCTGCTTCCATCAGGTCAAGGCTCCCAAGGTATGAAAATAGTTTTATAAAATAATAATCTATTAAAAGGACTCCAGATGATTAAACTTTCATAGGAGAAACATAGAAACAGACAGCAACATAGTGTCTTTAAAAAGCAGGTTAGAATGATTTGTTTAAGTCTGTGTTTGATCCACATGATCTTCAGCTGCCAGATTCCCATCATACTACTGGAATTTGAAGTATCTGTCTCGTCTTTACATTTTATTTCCACTCTGCAAGTTTTTGCTAGTCTTTTCCTGCCTCTATTCTTACCTTTCAGACCCCTTAACATCTCTGGGTTTTCCTCTGCTTTTATCATTTGTTCCATTTTATTAATAGCTAATGCTTCCATGACTGCCTATTAATTCTATATTCTTCAATGTTTGAATTCCTCTGAATACCCAAGTCAAGGCTTCATTTACAAATTTTGTTCTTCAGATAGTAATTTGGTTCCAATAACAAGGCAAAATAACTTTTTGTTTCTAAAATCATTTTACCTTAATTTTCTCCACATCAGTGTTTGGTGAGCTCATCAAGTAGTGGGGACAAAATAGTGCTGTCATCCTGCAGATCCACCCCAGTTCCTATAAAAGATCTTGCTGAAGGGGTAGGTAAATATTTGTTTCTGTAAAAATTAATTAAGATTGGAGAATAATGCTTGAGGCAACTTTTTGCAACTAAGCTTTATTAATTTAATTAAAATGTCTTCCATTTATTCAGCTTGTATGTCTGTTTTGATAATCAAATTTTCTTTTGTTCCACAGAAAAAGCAGACATGTCTAAGTCTGAATTCTAATTCCAAATGTATTGTAAGTGGAGGTCTTGATAATACAGTCAATATCTGGGACATAAAGTCGAAGAGACCTCATAGGACACTGAAGGTATTCTGTCCAACAACAGTCAAATGTTAGTGAATATTTCAGTTTCCTGTGCAATACTGAATATGTCAAAAGTTCACCCTCATTCTCAACTGAAATTAGGAGCATAATTTGAAAATAAATTACATACATAAATGGAGATGTGGAGCAATTTCTTTGCAGAAAGTCGTGAATCTTTGGATTTTTCTATGCCAGAAAGCATTAGAGGCTGAGTGATTAAAATATTCACGGCTGAAATAGATTTCTGAATAGAGAAGTTAAAGGCTATGAAGAACAATCCTAGTTAATGTCGGGATCAGATTAACTTTGACCTTATCGCATGATGGAGCAGCCATGAAGGGCCTACGCTTTTCTTTCAACATTCTACCACAGTAAGAGTTGTCCATTCCCTCTCAAACAGAGGCAGGGGAATCAGAGTAACCTGATCGACATCCTTATTTGTGTCCATCCTTTGCTGGATCATGACCCTTGTGCAAAAATTAAGGGTAGTTTTCCACCCCACCTCACCATGGCAGCCTTCTGTCCATCAGGAGGACTGATGAAAGCAGCTTGATATGCTAGCAAGAAAGTGAGAAGAGCTTGTAATTCTAAGGTAGATGATGTATCGGCTGGGTAAAAATATAAAAAACTGGTATGACAATTGTGTGATTATTACTAGACTGATTAGAGACCTAAATTAGTAATCCCTTGGACACAAGTTTACATCTCACCATGGTATTTCATTGAATTGATTTTAATTTTTAAAAAATTAAAATATAACACTTGTGGAAGTGATGATAAAACTGTCACATTGTTGTAAATGTTCAATCGGTTCACTTGAAATGAAACCTATCCAGCATACCTGGTCTGACCTGTGTCTCCAGTTGCATGTATGAGTGTCTCACGACAAGTAATTGACTCTTAACTAAATTCTGACCTTTTCGGCGACGTCCATGTCTTTTATATATCATGTGAAGAATTTAGAATGGGAAATTTGGCTTACACTTTTTAAATATTTTAATTTCGACAATACAAAATAAGAATTCTAATGGGATAAAAAGCAAAACACTATGGATGCCAGAAGGCTGAAATAGGATCTGTTAATGCTGGAGAAATGCTGTGGGTCTAGCAGCATCTGTGGAGAGAGAAATGGTAGAAGACTCTTATCAAACTAGAAACATTGACTCTGATTCTGTCTCTGCAGATGCTACCGGACCTGCTGAGCCTGTCCAGCACTTTGCATTTTAAATAAAGACAATGAGACAAATAAAGACAAATATTCTGATGTGACCCCAGATGGAGTTAACAGTTTTGGAAACTAATTATACATTGTGTGCTTGAAATGAATTTTGTAGCATATTTATAAGTTTTAGTTCCAACGTTGACAATTTCCTTAGGATCAAACACATGGGCAAGTTCTTAAGGTCAGTTAAGATGGGCTATTAATGCTGTTTGTTGGTACGCAAACTAAATAAGGCCCTTAGAATCCTACGTCATTCTATCGTAGAAATAAATAACAGCATGAATGAAATCTACAAATGTAAATACACATACTGTTTATGGGAGCGGTTGAGTCTACAAGCAGGCATAAAACAGATATGAGCTTGTATAACCTCATCTACTTCCCTTCAACATTGTCACTTTTACCTTTCTGTTCACCGAGTGTTTTGTTCGTAGAATTATGAAATACAGATGAGACCCTTTGGCTCATTGAATCTGTATCACCAAAAGAATATGCCACTACCTACACTAGTCCCACTTTCCTGCACTAGGCCTATAGCCTTGAATGCACCAACACTTCAAATACTCATCCACGTACTTTTTTTTTTAAAGATTGTGAGGTTATTCACCTCGACTACCCTCCCAGGCGGGACATTCCAGACTCCCACCACCCTCTGGATGAAAAATGTTTCCTTGAATTCCCTCTAATCCTCCTACCTTTCACTTTAAAAGTGTGGCCTCTTGTTCTTGACACTACATCTAAGGGGAACAGTTTTCTATCACCGTTTCCGTGCCCTTCATTAGCTTTCTACATCTCTATCAGGTCACCATCTCTGCTGCAAAGGCAATGATCTGAGCTTACCCAGCTCTCTTTGCAGCTGAAATGCTGCATCCTGGGCATCGTCCTAGTGAATCCTTCTGCACCCTCCCCAGTGCAAACACATCCGTCCTACATTGTGGTGACTAGAACTACACATAGTACTCCCACCTGTGGCTTAATAGCTGTTCTGAAAAGGTGCATCATAATGTTCCTGTTCTAATAACCTATGCCTCTACTGATGAAGGCAAGCTTCCCGTATGCTGCCTTAACCACTCTATTAACCTTCAGGGATCTGTGGACAAGTATTCCAATATCCCTGTCGTCTTCTGAGCTCCCTAGTGTACTGCCATTATTCATTTCCTTGTCTTGTTACTACTTCAAAATGACATTTAACACGGTTAAATTCCATCTGCCATTGATCTGCTCATCTGACCGATTTGTTCATATCCTCCTAAAACTTAAGTCCTCACTGTCAACCACCCGGCCAATTTCGTGTCATCTGCATATTTACTTATTATCCCCCTGACATTTTCATCTACATCATTTGTGAATGTCATAAACAACAAGTTTCCCAGTACTGATCCCTGTGGAGCACCACTGGACACTGGCCTACAGTCATGCAAACTGTCTTCTACCACCAGCTCAGTCTCCTGCTGCGCAGCCAACTTTGGATCCAACTTGCCAAACTATCCTGGATCCCAGGAGCTTTTCTGTTCTTTCAGTTTCCATGTGGGACTTTGTCAAAGGCCTTGCCGAAATCTATATAAACAGCATCAAGTGCCCCAGCCATCATCTACATACTTGATCAGCTTCTCGAAAAATTCATTCAACTTTGTTAGGCATGACCTCCCTCTGACAAAGCTATGCTGATTACCCCTGATCATACCTTGCCTCTCTAAAGGGAGATTAATTTTCTCCTTCATTATTTTCTCCAAAAGTTTTGTTGCCACTGATGTGAGACTCACTGGCCTATAGTTCCTTGATATAGTTCGACTACCCTTCTTGTAAAGAGGAACCACTTTAGCTATTATCCAGTTCTGTGGCACCTTCCCTGTGACCAGAGATGATTGAAAAATTTGGATCAGGGTCCCTGTTATATATTTTCTCCTTCATCTCCCACAACAGCCTGCGATACAACTCATCCGGATGTTGGCACTTGTCCACTTTTAAACCCACCAAAACTTCCATACCTCCATGCTTCTTGTATCAAACTGCTCAAGAACTTCACTGTCTTCTTGAATTCTGTACTTGCATCCTTCTCCCAAGGAGAGTACCTCAAGGCATTCCAAACCACTTCCACACTGTAAAATAATTATATTCCTATTTATGGTAGTCTAACAAATTAATATACCATTCTTAGTAGTTTGACATTGAAATTATCTTTGCTTTGGTTTTTTTAACATTTGCTGATCTAAACATAGCGTCCATTTATAGTAATCAATATGTGTTTTGCAGGATCACAGGGAAGAAGTCAGTAGTGTATGTTTCAATTGGAATGACTACTATATAGCATCGGGTTCTCGCAGTGGTGACATTATTGTACACAGTGTTACAACTAATATTTCTAGTGCTCCATTTGGTCATGGTAAAAGTCAGGTATGTGCTTTCTTCAGCAGTACTTAACGTTTACAAATTTTTAAATGTCAATTTCCCTAATTTTGTAAACTGGCTTTATAATAGAAATAAGAATTGTTTTGTCAGATGTAGTTTAGGACTTCTTTGATTCAGGAACGTATTAACTTTGATCTTGATTTGAAGCAACTTTATTGGAATAACTTGCTGGATGCACTGAAAGGATTTTGGAATCAGATCAGTAATAATTTTCAAAGAGGAATTAGATTAATATTTCAAGGGAAGAAAAATGGTACTAACTGTCTCCGTGATTGAATTTTCGTAGGCACTTTGGTAAATCTTTACACCACCTCCATGTACTTCGAGCACTGATCATGTAGGTGTAGCACCCACTTTCCTTAGTATTGGTTGCCCTTGAATCGAAGTCCATTTTCCACACCTTGTTTTTGTCATGTATTTGTCTCTCTAGTCTTATCTACGCTGCACCAACTTGCTGTGGCTTTGATAATAATCCAGAGATTATTACCTTTGAATTTCTGGTCTCTTGTTTTGACCCAAGTGGATCTCAGTTCACTCCCTCAGAGCTACTTTCCTAGTTCTACCTAGTGTCATTGATGCTTATGTGGACCACGACCATTGGATCCTCTCTGTCATGCTGCGTGTTCCTGCCTAGGCCAGAGCATATATCCTGAACATTGGACCTCTGGGCTCTTGCTGTCATCAGCAGAGAGATGTTGAACTGATGTAAGGAAAAATTTTCTTCTTTGCCTTAAATGGGCGAATAATTATTTTTAAACAGTGATATCTAGACTCTTGCACAAGGTAAAACTTCCTTTCCACATCTACGTTTTTGGGATCCCTCAGAATCTTAGATATTTCAATAATGTTGCCTGTTCTAAACTTAACCCTACCCTTTCCTCATAAGACAACCCACCATGCCAAATATTAGTTTTAGTCTCCTTATGTGAGGAAGGAATGTTCTGGCTTTGGGGGCAGTGCAATAAAAGTTTACCAGGCTGTGTCTTGGAATGCAGGGCTGATGTGAGAAGAGAGTGTGGATCTGATAGGTCTGTATTCACTGGAGTTTAGAAGAATGAGGGTAATCTCATTCAAACATTATAAAATCCGAAAAGGACCAGCCAGGATAAATGCAAGGAGGTTGTTTCCAGTGACCAGAAGTGCAGAACTAGGGGTCACAGATTAAGGATATGGTGTAGGCCATTTAGGACTTCAAGGACAAATCTTTAAACCAGTGAGTGAGGAGCCTGTGGAATTTTCCCACAGAAAGTGATTGAGGCCAAAACATTGAATGTTTTCAAGAAGGAGATAGACATCATTCTTAGGGCTAAAGGGATTAACGGATACAGCAAGAAAGCAAGGATGCTGAACTGGATGATCAGCTATGTTCATATTGAGTGTTGGAGCATGCTCAAAGGACTTCTCGAGCAACTGGGGGCAATAAATAAAGAGGCAACAACTAGCAATAAATGCTGGCCAGTCAGCGACACCCATGTACCACAAATGAATTTTTTTTAAAAAGTCCTACTCCTATTTACTTTATTTCTATGTTTTTTTAATTGGTAAATCTTCTCTGAACTGCTTCCAAAATATTTACATTCTTCCTTAAATAAGGATACTAATATTATATTCTGCAGATGAAGTCTCACCTGTGCCCTGTATAGCTGAAGCATTATCTCCCTATTTTTGTATTCAATTCATCTCATAATAAGCAATAACATTCTATTGGCTTCCTTAACTATTTGCTATATCTGCGTTCTAACCTGTGATTCATGCACGAGGATACTCAAATCCCTCTTTGTTAGAGCACTACTCTATCTTGTCATTTAGATAACATGCTTCTTTTATGTTTTTCTTGCCAAAAGTGATAATTTTACATTAGGGGTGGCACGGTGATTCAGGGTTAGCACTGCTGCCTCACAGCGCCAGGGACTGGGGTTCAGTTCCAGCCTTGAGCAACTGTCTGCGTGAAGTTTGCACGTTCTCCCCTTGTCTACGTGGGTTCCTTGTGGGTGCTCAGGTTTCCTCCCACAGTCCGCATATATGTAGGTTAGGTGGATTGGCCATGCTAAATTGCCCATAATGTCCAAGGATGTGCAAGCTGGTTGGATTAGCCATAGTTAATACAATGTTACAGAGATAGGGTGGGTAGGCGTGCTGGATCTGGGTATATGTTTTTTGGTGGGTTGGTGCAGACTCAATGGGGCAAATGGTCTCTATCTGCACTGTAGGAATTCTATAACAGTTTTATAATAATTTTTTCACATTGTACTCCATTTGTCATGTCTTTAACCTACATCCCTTTGTTACTTCCACATGTCCTCTTCACAATTTACTTTAACTTTGTGTCATTAACAAATTTAGCAACCAGACCTTCAATCCCTTCATCCAAGTCTTTTATTTAAATTTTAAACAGTTGATGCTCCAGTACTGATCCCTGTGGCACACAACTGTTTATATGTTGCCAACCAGCAAATGACCCAATTATGTCCAGTGTTAGCCAGCCAATCTTCTATCCTTGCCAATATGTTATCTCCTATACTATGACCTTTTATGTTCTGCAATAACATTTCATATTGCGCTTTATCAGATGTTTTCTAGAAATCCAGTTGCAATAATGTGTTGCTGAGTGCTTGAGACAATATACAAGTTATGTGTAAAGGATAGAGGTGGTATGGTAAGAGGCAGAGAGCAGGTCCTGATCATTGTCCTGAATTGTGTTGTTTTAATTTAGTGGTTACTGCTACCCTGGGCAAATATTTTTGCTGTTTTTCTACTCTTCTAGCAGCTGCTGAACTCTGGGAGATAGTTACGTTTGTGTTGCTGTTGAGTTCAGTTCCAAAAATTAAACTTTCCTGAATGGGAGTTCAGTCAGCAATGTAGTCAACTAGTTCTTTGTCCTTCTCCTCATCAGAATTATGAGGAAAACTAAATACTAACCAGAGGTTTGGTTAATGAGTTCTCCTTTCAATTATCATATTGCTCCCAACAAAATGTTCCTTTCCTAATATTGATACTGAAAATCTGCACGTTGATCTGTCAGCAAATTGGGATTGTTGAATGTTGCTATGCAGAATACTAGAATATTCCTATGCAGTGACTGGAAAAATGCATTGACATAATTGACCTCACTTTAGTCTTAGTATCATGGCTAGCAACTGGTTACACGTTGCTTAATATATAGTATCAACTAAAACTTAACAATGTATGACAACATATTTACCATAAGGTGCTCTCTTCATAAATTGGATTTACTTTAAGCAAAACATGCTGGAAATAGTCATCAGATTAGGTAGTGCCTGTGAAGAGGAATAGAGCAAATGTCTTAAATCAGTAACTTGTTATCACAGAATCCCTACAGTGCAGAAAGAGGCCATTTGGCCCATGGAGTCTGTACCAAACCTCTGAAGACCATCCCATCCTATCCCTGTAACCCCAAATTTCCCATGGTTAATCCACCCAGTCTGTACATCCCTGGACACTGCAGGGCAATTTAGCATGGCCATTCACCTAACCTGCACAACTCTGTGAAACCGGAACATCCAGTGGGAACCCATGCAGACACGGGGAGAATGTGTAAACTCCACACAGACAGTTACCCAAGGCTAGAGTCCAATCCGGATCCCTGGCACGGTGAGGCAGCAGTGTTAACCAGAGTTGTCAAGTGCCAACCTATCAGTTCTTTAGAAGTATTCTTTGTTTCCAGGTTAGATTGCACCTGGAGTACTTGGTCTCCTTATTTTTGGAAAAATATTATTGCCACAGATGGAGGGCAGCAAAGATTCACCAGACTTATTGTCAGGATGGCAGGACAAACTGAGCCTGTGTACTCTTGAGTTTCAAAGAATAGGGGATGATCTCATTGAATTTAGAAAAGACTGAAAGGTATAGACAAGGTAAATGCAGGTAAGATGTTGCCCCTGGCTGATGAGTTTAGAACCAGGGAGCACAGTTTAAAAATAAGGCGAGTGCCACTTAGGTCCACAATGAGGAGAATTTATTTTTCTCAGAGGGTTGTGAACTTTTGGAATTCTCTATCCCACAAGGCTATAGAAGTTCAGTCTTTGAGTATGCTCAAGGTAGAGATGGATAGATTTCTGCTTACCAATTGCATACTGGGTTATTGGAATGGGGTAGGTTAAAGTTATGGTAGCTTTTGATCAGCCATGATTCTATTAAAAAGAGAGGCAGGCTTGACAGGCTGAATGACCTATTCCTGTATTCCAGCTGAACTGACAATTTAAATGTTAAAAAAATGGTATTAGTTCTTTCATATTGTTTGGAGAAATGTTTCTATTTCCACTTACACATATCAAACATTTCTGTTTGATTTTCCTTTCCTTTGTCAGCCAGTACAAAATTTAAAGTATTCCATCTTCAAGAAAGCTTTGTTGGGAAGTGTTCATGACAGTGGAGCTGTAACTCTTTGGGATGTTAATACACAACAACCTTACCACACCTTTGAAAATGCTCACAAGGCTCCAGCTTCTGGACTTTGCTTTTCACCAGTGAATGATTTGTTATTTGCCACAGTTGGTTTGGATAAAAAGATCAACTGCTATGACACGTCCAGCAAGATGTGAGTATGTTTTACATGTCTGGCAATTGCTTTACATATCTTAATTATGTATCGTCAGTACTGAAACCACAACTTTTCCTGGAAGGAAAAATAACTTCACTGGATGTGCATGACACAAATTCAAAATGCATAGGTGACTCAGACTTGGATGTAGAGAGAACAGAGGAGAACAAACAGTGTTTTAAACTATGACTGATAGGCCAGTGGAAAAGGCAGCTGCGTGGCAGCTTACATTTAGTGTAGCCAAGTGTAAAGTGCTGCATTTTGTTTGGCAGAATGAGTTGAAGCAATGTAACATAAAGGCAGTGCAAGAACAGAGATTTGAGGGCATACATGTACAAATTATTGAGGGTGGCCTTTGACAGGGGTGACCATATAGTCCTCCTCCAACGAGTCTCCACTAGTGGTTAGATGATTGGGAGTGCTGTCTCCTGATTTCAGTCTCATTTACCTAATCATAACCATGGGATCAATTTGAACCTCTCGTGGATTGGTTCTTGCCCTCTACTCTTTCTCATTTACATGCTGTCCCTTAGCAGCTTGTGTCTTCCAGAGACACATTAATTTTTGCATGTACTCTGATGACACTCAGCTCTACATATTTACCTGCTCTCTTGATTCTTCTACTGTCACTTAGTTGATCAGAATGCTTATCTGACATTTGGATTGACTGAATTTTCCCCCAATTAAATATTGGGAAGACTGAACCCAGTAGTTTTGGTAACTACTCCAAGTTCAGTTTCCCTAGGTTATAGACTCCATCCTTTTTCCTGACACCAGTCTGAGGTTGTTGTCAGTGTTAGTGTTAAGTCGGGAGATGTGTAATCTTCTGAGGAAAAGTCGCGCAGGCTAGGCCTGTAGACATTGGAATTTAGAAGAAGAAAAAGTAATCTTGTAAAGACATAAAAGTTGCCATGTGAGTTTTAAGGCAGTTGTAGATTCTGAACAAGAGAGTTGGAGGTTATCAGGTGGATGCTGAAATGTGGCTATAGAAATAGACCTTTCAGCCCATCTGACATACATTTAGATCATAACTAATCATCTACTTTCCCATACTATCTTCATATCCTTTGTAATTTCTCTTTAGAAATCCATCAGTCTCTATTTTTGAACATACTCGATAATTGATCTTCTGCAGACTGTGCGGTAGAGAATTCCAAAAATTCATCACCTGATTGAAGAAATTTCTCCTCCATGGTCTTAAATGGTTTACCCCATTTTTTCTGAGATTATGTCCCTGATTTTAACCAGTAACCAGGGGAAGCATCAACATCTATCCTGTTGCACCCTGTAAGAATTTTGAATTTCAATGAGGCCTTTGAAAACTTTAGGGAATGCAGACTCAGTCTCTCGTCATAAGACAATTCTACTGTTGCAGAGCTTAGTTTGGTGAACTTCTGTTGCTCTCCCTAAATGGCAAGTGAATTCTTCCTTAGCTAAGGAGATTAAAACTGCACACAGTACTCCAGCTATGGTTTCACCAAGGCTCTATACAATGCAGGAAGCTATCTTCACTTTTGTACTTAAATCTCCTTGCGATAAAGGCCAACGTACCTTGCCTTCTTTATATATTATTGCACCTACATGCTAGCTTTTAGTGACTCAAAAACTAGGCTACCAAATTTAAGAAATATTCTACACCTTTTCCTTGCAAAGAAGATAACATCAGATTTGGTCATGTTATGTTCTCTTTGCCATGTTCTAGCCGTTCACTTAGACAATCTACGTCCTTGTGAAGCCTCCTTTCATCCTCCTGTCAACATATATTCCCACCCAGTTTTGTGGCAGCAAATTTGGAAATACTACATTGATCCCCACATCCAAATCATTGAAATAGATTGCGAACAGCTGTGATCTTAGCACTGATCATTGCAGTGCTGACTCTTGTGGTATTCTACTGGTAACAATTTGCCGACTTGAGATTGGCCTGTATATTTCTGCTTTCTCTTTTGTATCTGTTAACCAATCTTCAATCCATACTTTATAATACTACCAGCTCCTATGCCCTCTAATTTTATTAACAAAAGCCTTCTGAAAATCTAATCGGACATTTCTCCTTACCAGAATCACTAAAACTAGGAGACAGTTTAAAATTGAAGGACCTGCCTTTTTGAGAGGGAAATAAGGATATTTTTTCTGAGGGTCATGAGTTATTGGAACTCTTCCCACAGAGCAGTGGAAGCTGGGTCATTGAACATTAAGGCAGCGGTAGTTAGATTCTTGATGAACAAGGGAGTCACAGGTTTTCAGGGATACGCAAGAAAGTGGAATTGATGCTACCATTGATTTGCCATGATTTTACTGAATAGTGGAGCAAAGCAGCCAACTGGTCTACTCCTCCTCATTCCTATGTTTGCAACCTTGATGTTATGTTTGACCACAGGATGCGCCTTCAGCCTCATCCACACCATCGCCTGTGACAGCCTATTTAATTCTCTGTAACATTGCCCAGTATCACCCCTGTCTCAGCTCATCTGCTAAACCCACTTTCATATCTTTGTTTTCTGTAGACCTGACAACTCCAAGAGACCTTGTATTTCTGCACAGATCTTTGTGCATAATGCAACTACTGAAACAAGTGAAAAATTCTGGGCTTTATAAATAGAAGCATGGATTTAAAAATTCAAATAATTTCGCAGAGCCCACACAACACATTTACACAGCCCCAGCTGGGTATTATGTCCAATCCTAGACCAAAAAGGAACTGGGAGCAATTTGAAGACTTTGGAGAGATTTATTAGAATAGTTCCTGCGGAACATGGAGACTGGAGACGTTTTCCTTCAAGCAATAAAGGGTAGTAGGAGATTGCATTGAGGTATTTAGAATGATTAAGAGTTTACATAAAGTAAACTTCTTCCAGTTTCCCCTTGCTCAATGGTCACTAACTTGAGGCACAGATTAAAGTGCCAGAAACATGAAGTGGGAAAGCTTTTCTACACAGTGTTGAGAATTTCAAATGCATTACAGGATGGTGTGGCAGATGTGGACTCACTGGTGGCTTTTAAAAGTGACTTGGATAAATATTTGAATAAAAGATTGCAGAGATGTGGAGAAAGATCAGGGAGTAGGATTAGGAGGATTGCCTTTTAAAAGAACCGGCATAGACTCAGTGGTATGAATAGCCTCCTTTTAGTCTACTATTCTATAATTTCAAGGCTGTTGTAAGGAATACATGATCTTTGCTGACATAGATACATCTTTTAAATGGAATTACCTTTTATCATTTGCCATTGAGCATTGAACTATTTTGTCAAGTTGTGAACAGATAGGTGGGAGCTTTGAGTGGCGCTGTCATCTGCTGGTATCTGTTAGTAGAAGAAAATGACTAATTCTGTAAAGGCATGTGCTCTAGTTACTTTGCCAAATCAACTTGGTCAGTTGATGTGTGTATATCTCCCTATGAGATACAGCAACGAGTACTAATTGGTCCAAACACTCCACGTGGTCTTGGACCATACAGTGCAGTGAAAGTATTGTTCAAAGATGGTTTGAACGGAGAAATGCGGCTGTATTGTGTAATAGTTTGTGAAAAATGATTTTGTTATTGAAATCATCGTTAAGTAATCAGCACTCAGCTTGATGATGAATGTGGTGACAACTGCAATGCTTTCAGAAAATATACTTTGAACTATTTTCTTTCACTACTTATTTTTAAATTTTCATTTGAAATGGTTTTACTTTTGCTCATAACTTGCTCTATGATCCCTGCTTTTTGAACCACACTTCATGATTTAAACTACGTTTCATATTTCTAAATCAAATACAAGTGCATCACAGAAGTTTATGTCCAGGCTTGTAACATCCAGAATGTGATGACCATGTTTTTATGTCAGTAAGTAATCGACATTCTGTGGAAAAATGATTAAAAATAGTACGCAAATGCATTAACCTTTTATTATCTAGAAAACTAGAACTGTGGAATTAAGTTAAAACTTTGTGACCATCTTGTTAAATTCATTTTACATAGGTTATTGAGAACTATTTCTGTTGAAGCCCCATTGACTGCAATAGACTTTATGACTGATGGAGCAACTTTGACTGTAGGATCCATCAGGGGCAAAATTTATGTGTATGATTTACGAGTGACAACTTCACCGCTCAAAATTGTCAGTGCCCACAAGAAATCCATACGGTGCTTAAAGTTTCAGAATGGTTCTGTACAGTTCAAGGTAGGTAGACTGTGACTCTTATTAAATTTTTAAACCAATCCTAAGTTTGGTGATATTCTTTTAGTTTTAAACCCCAAGTATCTTGAAATGAAGTGGTATAGAATTGTCACTATATCATATGAATACCAAAGCACTTAATTGCCACCATACAGTACATGTTTGTGTCTTTGTATAAAATCATGAATAACAATCTGTTTGCCTTCTTTAGCATCACATTTGACCCTGAGCTTCCAACTTCACGGAGAGGCAGTAGTGTAGTGGTAATATCACTGTACTAGTAATCAAGAATGGGTTCAAATCCCAGCCTGGCAGATGGTGAAATTTGAATTCAAAGAAAAATTCTTGAATTAAAACTGGCCTAAAAGTGACCATGTGACCACTATTGATTGTTGTAAAACACTCATCTGGTACACTAATGTCTTTTAGGGAAGGAAATCTGCCAACCTTTACCTTTACCTGTTTGTCACTGCAGTGTGGTTGATTCTTAATTGCCCACTGGGCAGTTAGGGATGGCAAGCAGTGCTGGCCTGTAGCATCATTCACATCCCATGAATGAAATCAAAGATTTTGTGCCGTCGATAAGACTGCCTGTCAGCACCTCTGTGACATTGTCTGATATCACCTCCTATCTTGGGTCATCTGCTGAAACTCTAACCTGTGTCTTTGTTGTTTTTAGACTTATTTATTCCACTGCTGTCTGGGTTGGTCTCCTAATGTTGCTCAATCCAAATCGCATTCATCTGACAGTGATCTACCTGGGATCTGTTTCAAAACCCTCCATAGTTTTGCCCTAACTATCTCTGATCTTCTCCAGTCCCTTGGAGATGCTTGTGCTTCTCTTGTTCAAGTCTCTTTTATGTTCTGTATTAAGTAGCGATGCCTTCAGTAGACCCCAGTCTTGAGATTGCCTTTCCTACACTTCTCCACATCGGAGAGTCAGAGTCATACAACGCAGAAACAGATCCTTTGGTTCAACCAGTCCATGCTGAACATAATCCCAAACTAATCTAGTCCTATCTGCCCACTCCTGGCCCATATCCCTCCCTTTTCTATTCATGTAATTATCTAAATGTCTTTTAAACGTTGTAATTGTACCCACATCCACCACTTCCTCAGGAAGTTCATTCAACTCATGAACCACCCTCTATATAAAAAGTTTGTCCCCCATGTCTTTTTTAAATCCCTCTCCTCTCACCTTAAAAGTGTGCCCCATTGTCTTGAAATACCCCATCCTAAGGAAAAGACAACTACCATTAACTCGGTCTATCCCTCATTATTTTATGAACTTCTATAAGGTCTCCTCTCAATCTCCTATGCTCCAGTGGAAAAAGTCCCAGCCTTTCTTTATAACTCAAACCTTCCATGTCCAGCAACATGCTGGTAAATCTCTTCCGAACCCTTTGCAGCTTAATGATATCCTTCCTATGACTAGGCGACCAGAACTGGACACAGTATTCTAGAAGAGGCCTCATTAATGTCCTGTACAACCTCAACATGACTTCCCAACTCCTATACTCAAAGAATGAAGGCAAGTATGCCAAATGCCTTTTTAACCACCCTGTCTATATGTGACCCAAACTTCAAAGAATTATGTACCTGAGTCTCTAGGTCCCTCTGTTCTACAACACTACCCAAGGCCCTACTGTTAATTTTGTAAGTCCTACCCTTGTTGGCTGTACCAAAATGCAATACCTTGCATTTATCCAGATTGAACTCCATCTGCCATTTTTCAACCCATCTTTTTTCTTCTTCTATTGTGGAGACTGTGCACTGTCTGGGCACTTTTTAAAAAAAAAAGAGTCAGTGGCTCTCATTGAAAGAGGAGCCAGAGGTGTTATCCCCGAACTCTGTTTAATATTATCCCTCAATCAGTATCACAATAGCAGATTATCTGCTCATTAACGCATTACTGTTTGTGGCAACTTGCTATGTGTGGCTTGGCACAGTTTCCAAGTGGCCCAGTTTATCCTCTGACATTGGCCAGGAAGTGGAATGGAATCAGTGGCTACAGAATGGAGCTTGTAACGAGGGCTGAATTTTTTTGAGCAGTATACATATTGTTCCTCCCAGTACAGCCAGCCCTTGTCTCCTACCACTGCACTGGAACAGGAGTTTGCTGCTGTTAAAATCCCTGCTATCTCCCTTTGCTACTACCCTTGCTGCATCATTCAGAGCAGATGGAAACATAGAAGATAGGAGTAGGATGGGGCCATTTGCCTCTTTGAGCCTGCTCTGCCATTTGTCCCAGCAGATCAGCAAGGATTCAAATGTATGGATTGAGATGGGGCCGAGAGTAGAAGGTGAGCAGAGTGGTAAGCCAGGCAGAATGGGAGGAATCAGTGTACGTCCAAAACATTATTTTTTGATGCAAGCAGCTCCCTGCAGTGTCAGTGGTAGTAACATACGTTGCAGGCACTCCAACTGCATATATGGCGAGTATGCCCTGAATTCTGGGTGACAGCAAGTCAGCAAGAGGAGTGAGATTCCATAGAAAATCAAGTATGTCTGTTGCCTATTGAAGAAGGCTGATATGCCAGGTTAAGGAATGATAACTGAAATGTGGAACTAAATTGGAGAACACTGTCAAAGAAGTGCAGTAGGACAAATGGGCACCTTCTGTCCTAGAAGATTCTGATTCTATATTGCTGAATATGTTTTGCTATGCCTCACTAGGGTGGCACGCTGTAAATCAAGCCCTGCTATTTCTGAAGTCATCCCAAGATTTTTTTAAAAAGTACACAAAATTCCCCAATTTACCCGTCTTAGACCCAGCTAACAGAAGCACAGACCAAGTCTCTGAACTTAACAAGAGTTATTATTCTTTGTAATTAATTTGACTGTAGCTACGGCGAAAATTCATGAATCATTTACATATAACTCCTGCATATAATTCCACTAAATAGACTACTAATCAAATCAAATCCCCTTATGAATCCCCCCTTTACATACGCCCACAAAACACACACCGGGGAAAATATCATGAGCTAGTAACAGAAAGAAAAGCCAGGAAAGCGGTTCAGTGGTTTCTGTTCACGCTGGTCATGTAAGGGTGCTGGTCTGAACTCTGCTTCTTGGTCATTCTTCTTTAGATGCTTCCACTGGCTTGGAAGAGAGACAGGGTAGATAGTTCACACTTATAAAAGGTCTTTGACCAATTAATCAAAAGTTACAGAACAAAACTGTTCAGCTCCAGTTCTTCTGAAACCCACAGTTGTGCATGCAGTCTTCACAATGAGTATCATGCCACTTGGTTTCAAACCATGCAGCAATCCTTGCAATCCCTGCTTTTAAAACAGTTCTTTTCTCATTTCAGCTCAATTTAAAAAAAATACAAAAACAAAAAGACACAGTCTTTATAATTTCAGTAAATGTAGTTCTTATGACAATTACATCCAAAATGTCTGTCTTTTTCTTTCAAATGCTAACTGACCTGTTTTCCATAATCTGTCTTGATTTTTTTATTGCCAGCTGTCATGGTTTTTCTTTTGCATCTTGTTTTGGTTGTTCTTCATGTGAAGAACATAAGAGAAAGTTACAGCCCCTGCTGCTTTGCCACAACCCAAACTGATTGGGACCTGATCGGTCTAAATCTGGCAGTTTCTATAAAGAAGGCTTGTTGTGTTGTTTTAATTACTGGGTCAGAAATCGCACGAGACCAGGTTATAGTCCAACAGGTTTATTTGAAACCACAAGCTTTCGGAGCCTCGGTCCTCCTTTAGGTGTTAGTGAGAGAGGTAGTATCAGACACAGGATTTATAAGTAAAAGATCAAAGGTTCACACCATTGATGAGGATATACTAAACAAACCTAAGATGCTGTTAATCGGGATTTAATACCTGAAGTCCACCTGAAGGAGGACTGAGGCTCCGAAAGCTTGTGGTTTCAAATAAACCTTTTAGATTATAACCTGGTCTCGTGTGATTTCAGACCTTGTCTACCCCAGTCCAACATCGGCACCTCCACATTTTAATTACTGGGCTTCAAGTTCATACTTGCAGTTCTCTGGAATTTCTAGTATCGCTTGTTTCCAGATGGAAATTGAATGAAGCACAAAAATACGCTGTTATTAGTGCAGCCTTCCTTGCTTTTGGGTGGTATTTCTGATGAAAGAACAAGTTAGTGTTTAGACTGAAAGGGATTGTGACCTGGGATTTGCTGAGGTGACGTGGTACCTTATTGCTCCTTTATCCAAGGTTGACCATATCACAACGGGACAACATCGTTTGCATTGTGTAAAGGATAGCTGTGATACTGCAATGCACTTCTGCAGCTGCCTGGGCTTGTACAGATCTACTCTTGTAAGGCCAAGTGCAATCCTTTCAAGGCTCGAACAGTCCTTGGAAGACAACTCTGGCTCCCAGTCATGGAACCACTCCAGCTCAATTAATCATTGATCAGCTCTGGCATTTATTCCCTTACTCTATGAAGAATTAGAGCCTGAAATGGTTACAACTCGCATGAGCCATTCAAATCTGGAACACCCTATGACCTATGGGTGTAGGTGTGGTGATGGGGTGGGAGGTGCGAGATGGATGGAAGAAAGCCCCAGGCCCCTCCATGTATACACAAGTGGGAAGGAATCCTGTTGGAGCCATACCGTAAATATATTTCAGAATTCTTCCGAGGGATTGAGTGCAACTTTTGTACTCCCATCTGTGTTTTTTCTCCCTCTGTTGGATTATTCAGTGAATTCACTTGTCTTTGTAGGAGTTTGAAATAAATAGAGGCTTGTACTTGCGTTTATCTGTTTTTAAGTTTAATTTGGCTTGGGTTTTCTGATTATTTCAGCAACGTTTTCTTCAAGTGGTGTTGCCAAATCTCTCAACATTTTCTGCAGTACTGTTGTTAGCAGCAGACTTAATATACTTTTTAAATGGGTATTTTCTCTCTTCTAGTCTAATGGAGGTAAAAACTTCGCAAGCAGAGGTTCATCCACCTTGCCCACCGCAGCTACCAAGAGGACTTCCACTAAGGTGAACAGTGCTCCAGGTAGTGACAGTGCAAAGGGAATCCAGGAGCTTACTGCACTAATGACATCTGCACCAGCTGTGAAAGTACCTCCTGTCCTAGAAGAAAAAGTAGCTGAAGCTAATCTGGATGTAAAAGGTAGAACTGTTTCTGTTTCAATTAGTGCAGGAGCATACATGGTATTGAAAATAAATATAATTGCAGCTGAAGGAACAGGATAGCCTTGCTATAAAATCGACCTGAGCAAATTATTTAATTGAATTTAATTAAGAAGACATTTAATAATTTGTGGGGCTGAAGCTGCCTCATGTACAACTCCAGTTCCACACTACATACCTGACTCTTAAGGGATGGCAATAAATACTGCCTTACCAGCATTACCCAGATCCTAAGTACATATGTGTATTGATTTTCCAATGTTACCAACATTCCAGGAACTCATAGCTGTATATTTAAGCAGTGAATATTTAAATTCTTAACATTTTAATGTTCTGTGTATTTGTATATCTCAACTAAGCACAGGAGTTTTTCGGGAATGGCAATGACCAATGTAACCAGGCTCAGGAGGGAAGTAGCTTCATTTCTTAACAGAAAAATGTGATAAATATTGTAAAATGGCAAGTAGGTTGAATTAATCAAATAACTGTTATGCTAGCTTTGAAAAGTGAGTTTCAGATATATTTGGAGATTGTGGTAATTCTATTCTTTAAATAAATTTGGGCAAATCTGATTTTTAGCTCACCGATAAAACTAACTTTACTACTTGTGTTTTGTTTCTAGGTTTAGCACATAGCACCAGTCTAGATGTAATTCCATCCAAAGAGACAGAAAACGCAAGAAGAGCAGATAACAGTGGCAATTTTAGAAACCTTGATTGTGTGGGTAGAAATAGTTTTGGAGATGTATTCTCACCAGTCAGAGATGGTAAACTGATTTAAATTAACATTTATTAGCATTTACTGAATAGTGCAAAACATTTATGAACCCCAACAATTATTCAGGATGATTATGGTTTACTTTTCTAGATGTTGCCGGATTAAAGACAAATGAAGACAGCATGACGAAAGGAAATGGTAAGATGGGCTTTCTTGACTGTTGGTTAATTTACTTATTTTGCCTTGAGAAATCCACTAATGAATTGTCCTTTCTGGGGCCTCATTCCAGTGTAACTTGGACGGATGAGATGAAAGCTGCAACTGTCTACAGTGGTCCCATCTTAAGATAACTCCTAACAATTACAATCCCGAATCAAAACTGCTAAAAATATGACACATGAATGTAAAATTGTGATAACATTGAAAGGAAAAGAAATTGTGTTTGTGAGACCTCCTGGTAGGCAAGTGAAGAATATATGGTGGCATTTCGGTAGGACTAAGGTATATATTTGGAATGATTTTAATGTCTTTATTACTGGTGCTGAGTGCTATGGGTTAAAACTTAATTTTTATGCCATTTTTATTTCTGATGCTGTGTTTAAGTTTAGTTCAATTGGTAGCACTCTTGCCTCTCAGTTCAAACCAAATGGTTGTAGGATCTGTTTGACTTTTATTGTCCAAAACCTAAAAGAATATTGACTTTTGACAGTTGAATCATCTGGATATTCTAATGAACTGTTCTGATTGAAATTGTGTGCCTGACAATTTTAACAACAACAAAGCATAAATTAAAATGAAAATCCTTAGGCCCAGCAAGTAAACATCTGAATGTTGTACAAATATGTGTACCTTAGATAGAGGTGATTGGAGAGCAAATCATCTTGTTGAAAGCAAGTGAGTGAGAATCAAAGCACCAACTTTCAGGCAGCATGAAGCATAACAACTGCGAGTATTACTTGGCAAAAACCTATCTCCTGAAAGATACATCTCGTCGATTCTGCAAAAGCAGTCAGTGGTTAGCATTATTTAGAGATGTCAAAATGTTGCTGTCCTAAAAAGTGGGTGGAAGCATTTCAACCTTACTCCATTTTGAGATGGCTGGCATACTACATGGAAGAGCATCTTCGCTCAAATGATCATGAGAATCAAAAGGCCGTCAATGCAGTGAAAACAGAAATAGACATTGAATTGCAGAAATAATAGAAGAAAGTATATGTGAATAAAGGGTTAAAAAAAATTAGAAATACAGGCCATTCATGACTAACAAGTAACTGTAGTTCTTAAGGGCCTAGTGAGGCCGTTCAAGCTAACGCATGAACAAAAACGTCGTCATTATATTTTTCATATGGCTAATCTTGTCCCCATCATCATTAGAAATGGTAGTTGACGCTAAAGCATTTTATGATTGTGTTTTAAGTCATTCCTTGTGCAGAACAAAATTCTCAAATAGATTTTTCTTTGTAGGTTTGGGCTTTTTGCCACAGTTGAACACTGTATTTTCCACAAGAAGTAATCCGGTGGGCGCCAGTACACAGGAAGAATCGAACTCAAACTCCTTGCAGGGATTTGGATCTCCATCTCCCATTAAAGAACAGGCTCCACAGCGAGACATGAGTGCCATATTGAGCCAGCTCCAGAGTGCTGGGCAAGATTCAAAAGAGCCCGTTGGCCAGGTATTACTAAATTTATCTCAACAATAATTATATTTCTTTATACTTTAAATTTTTAGGACAGATCACATCAGTTTGACATGTATTCCCTAATGTTTAAACAACTAAGCAGTGGTTGAATTGAGATGTTTATAAACTTTACGAATTTCATTAGCGTAGATACAGAGAAATTGTGTCTTCCTGGAATGGGGTGGAAATCTAGAACAAAAAGGCATGAACTTAAAATTAGAGTGAGATCATTTGGAGTGAAGTAAAAGACACTTTCCATACAAAGATAATGGAAATTTAGAACATTCCCTCCAAAAAAAACTGTAGCTGCTGAGCCATTTGTAATCTTCAAGTCTGATTTGGATCAGTTATAGTTGTGTAGGGATATTGATGGACTTTTGGCAACGGTGGATAAGTGGGAATTGAAGTACAGATCATTCAGAATCTCATTGAATGACAGGGCAATCTCAAGTGGCTGAATGACTTATTCATATTTCTAATATACTTGTTGACACAGTGAATGGGCTGAATCATTAAGATGAGGGAGGTTCCCCGTACTTGATTCTTAGTTGATACTGATTTGACTAATCTAAATTAAATGCATGACAATTGGAGGCAGAACTTCTGTGTTTGAGGGGCAAACATGATAAACATTCCTGCTTATAAGGCCTATCCAAATACCCCCACTGAAAGGTTCATGTTTTGTCTGTAATAGTTCCTGTGGTTGAAAAATCTGACAGTGTTCACTGTCAAGGTGATTACTGTCTTAGAGGATTATTGTTGCTGTGTAGCTGTATAAAGAGTAAGCTTTTTGAAGGGAGAAAATCTAAATGGGGAGAAGAAATGTTGTTTCATATATTCAGAAAATGCAAGTGATTCTGACAGAAATGGAAAATCTGATCAGCTTCTAGGGAACACCATTGTACTACAGGGGAATCGAAGCTATAAAGCTAATGACCTAATCTGATCAGTTATCATTACTTTTCCCGGGTCATTTGCTGAGGAAATCAGTTCTTACCTGTGATAATAGATCACATTCAGAGAAGGCCCTGTTACATTTTTCTTTTCATACTTTGGTTACTTTGCCCAAAATACCAGTTAAAAGCTTGCAAGCCTCTGTGATCACCTTTCTGAACCTACACTTCACACATTGAGTGAGAGAAACCTTAGATGTGACTTATCTTCAGTGCTCTCATTACCATGTTAGTTTGGTAATGTTTCAATAAGGGTCTTGATTTGGAAAATTATTTGGATTAAACCGATTTGTTACCAGTCTGTCATAGAGTATATAATTGATGCGGCAATAACTTCTGTTGAGCTGCTTTCTTGTTGTTTCTTGTTCTGTTGATCTTTGTTCTGAACAACGTTTTGTATTAAAGTGATAGTATAAAGAACATTTGAAGATAAGAGTTTCCCTTAGCCTCTCCTGGGCATTGATTTTGTTAAACATAAAGTAACATGTTACCACAAGAAATCTATATCTAATGATATACATATTCCAAATTCTTAACAGGAAAATAAAGCCATAGGAATGCAGAAATCCAAAATAATTGAGCATAACGGCCAATTGGAAGCTGCAAGATTGGATCAGGTAGGTTAGAACAGCAGCGGATGACTATAAAGTGGAATTTTCCAGTTGTCTAAATCTTTATTTAAAGAGATTCAAAGTAGGAAATTTCAAAAGGCACAGAATAGCATCATGGACTTTACTTTAGGGGGCACTGAGTATAAAAACAACTGGTTCAACATGAAGAATTGCTTCTTGTTCTAGACACTGTACATGTGGAATGATGTGAAGGCACTGAAAAGATTTATGACAATGTCCCAGGAAAGAGGAGATTCAGTTTTTAAACTGGAAATGTTGGGACCATCTTCCTTAGGCAAGAAAAGGTTGAGAGATTTGATCGGGATATTCCCTGTGAAAGATGTGAACTAAAGATGTTCACATTGGTGGAATGATCGAGAATGAGAGGGAACAGATTGAAATTAATTGGCAAAAGAAGTAATGTGACATGAAGAAAAAGTTTTTTTTGCTGACTGTACATGGGGTACAGGCAGGTTCATACAAGGCAATCAAGAGTATTGGATTGTCTTCTCAAAAAGAACTGTGTGCAGGACTATGGAGACAAGGAAGTCACTGACAGAAAGTAACTTGTTCTATAGAGAACTGGCACAGATGCAGTGAGACAGCTTCTGTGCTGTAATAATTCTGTTAAGCCAATTCTTAGGGCCAAGCTGATGGTAAGGCCTGTGTTGACAGTACTTTGGTGTATGACTAAGAACAACACATGACTTGTAACTATCAAGCAGCTTGACAACTTCCATCTTTATGGTCTGTAGTGTATTATGTATATATCCTGGCAGGACAAAAACAGAAATGCAGCATTCTTCTTTAAGCACAACTTTCAAGTCTATTTGTACTCATCAAATAGGTGGCTTTGCAGGTCCTTAGGATGGACCTCAAGAAGATGGTCCCATGCCTCAGAATTTTCTACATGGTGAGGTAGCCAGAGCCTGATGCCCAAGGCTGTGCTTCAGGGATGCTTGCAAGTCTGACCTGAAGCCTCTAGGCATCGATTATTGTTCCTGGGAGTCACAAGCTGATGCATAGGAAAATAGTGGCACTTCCTAGGCTGGTGTGCACCACCACAATAACCAGTGGCTATTACAGCTTGACAACTAGCACCAATGTGGAAAAACAACCCGCAGTGACCCTTGGTAGCTTGATGTATGATACTTCTAGTGGAACCTCTCACATCAGGATTCACCTCTTCAGCCATCAGCAAAAGTGCGCCATATTAAAGCACCTGATCTGAAGTGGATTTATTTGCTGTATCACCATCATCCTTCATAAGTGGAATGGTGCTGGAACAATTAATATTTTATTTGTTATCTTTTCTGTTTTCTAGACAATTCCTAAATAACTTGAATGAAGGAACAATATGTATCAAAGACTTTCAACAATGGAAATATGTTATTATTCAGGGTCATTAAATAGGATTTTTGTTACCAATTTATAAACCTGTTTTATTTAGTTTCACTTTTAACATTTTAAAAAAGGAGAGCATCAGAATTGGGTCTTAAAAAAGACTTGAAGGAAATATGTGGAATCCAGTTTTGATTAGAACATTGCTAAACTTCAATAAAACAAGTAGCTCACTTTATTTAATAAAATTTAAGCTAAATTTCAGCATGATTCAGTGGTAGCACTCTTGTTAAAAGTCATGTGTTTAATACTCATACCTGGTTCCATGTTTTCATTGCTATGTTGAAGGAATGGTGCACTATTATAGATGGCATTTTAGATTAGACATTCATGGTTCATAGCATTGTGCCGCAACAAAGTAAGTTGCAAGTACGTTTTATAGAGCAGTTACTCAGTTATGTGGATCTCGGACTTAGTTTTGGTATATTCTCCCTCCCGCCTCCTTGACCCGACACAACCTGTCCATCTTCTCTCCCACTGACCAATCCCCACCACTCCCTACCTGCATTCACCTATCACCTTCCCCAGCCCCACCCCTCCTCTCTCTATTTATTTCTGAGTTCCCTTCCCTCTCCCCATTTCTGAAGGGTCCTGACCGGAGATGTCAACTTTCCTGCTCCACTGGTGCCTGCTGTGTTCCTCCAACTTCATGTTGTGCTTCTTCCTCCACCACCCTTTGTCTCTTACTGATAAGCCAATTTTGTATCCAGTTGGTATGCTCTCCCTGAATCCCATGTGACCTAACTTTACTACCCAGGTAAACAATCCAGAACCTTGTCAAAGGCTTAGCTAAAGTCCATGTAGACAACATCTACCACTTTGCCCTTTACACTTGTGTTTAACAAAAAAAAATCTGATTTAAAATCAGCAACTGATCTGGCATCAACTGCCGTTTGTGGAAGAAAGTTCCAAACATCTACCACATTTTGTGTGTAGAAGTGCATCCTAACATCACACCTGAATTGTCTGGCCTGAATTTTTAGACTATGCCCTTTGATTCTAGAATCTCCAACCAGTAGGAGTAGCTTATCTATATATACCCTGTCTCCTCTTGTTAATATCTTGAATACTTTGATCAAATCAAACCTAAATTCTCTCAATTCTAGAGAAATCTCTGCTCATAAATTAACCCTTCAAATCCAGCTATTTTCTTGTACATCTACATTGTACTCCCTCCAAGGCCTATATATCCTTCCTAAGGTGTGGTGCCCAGATCTGCTGACAGTTCTGTAGGATGAGGTCCTCCACGATTTTGTATAGCTGCAGTATAATTTCTTCGTTTTATACTCCAGTCATCTAGACATAAAGACCAGCCCTGGTAGCCTGCTATAGATGGGTAAATTCTATTCTTTCTTTCCTCTAAGACCAGAGAAGTTTCTTTGTTGTAAGTTTATTCGTGCATACATTGGAGAGGGCACATCAAGAAAATAGCAGACAACTCATAACTTCATCATAAGAACAAGAGTTTTATTCTATTCTGACAGATATATTTCTAATTGACTGTTATTACAAGTAATACCTTCTAAATAAAGCATCCCTCAGTTTTCACTTCTGTTTGTGACCATCGTTGGTTGCATAATTCGCATTCCAAGGTGGTATTCAATTATATTCAAGTTAAAACATGATATCCAATCATATCATTACATGCTCGCATTGCATATTGTTAACACAAACCTGTTACAGGAAATCTATATCCTGAGATATAAATCTATATTCCTGAGAATTATAGAGTCATAAAGATATACAACATGGAAACAGACCCTTCGGTCCAACTCATCCATGCCGACCCGATATCCTAGATGAATCTAGTCCCATTTTCCAGCAATTGTCCCATATCCCTCTAAACCCTTCCTGTTCATATACCCACTAGGCTAAAGGGAATTTGACTGTGGCTTTTAGAACATAGAACATTACAGCGCAGTACAGGCCCTTCGGCCCTCGATGTTGCGTCGATCTGTGAAACCAATCTGAAGCCCATCTAACCTAAACTATTCCATTATCATCCATATGTTTATCCAATGACCATTTAAATGCCCTTAAAGTGGGCGAGTCTACTACTGTTGCAGGCAGGGCATTCCACGCCCTTACTACTCTCTGAGTAAAGAACCTACCTCTGACATCTGTCCTATATCTATCACCCCTCAATTTAAAGCTAGATCCCCTCGTGCTAGCCATCACCATCCGAGGAAAAAGGCTCCCACTGTCCACCCTATCTAATCCTCTCATCATCTTGTATGTCTCTATTAAGTCACCTCTTAACCTTCTCTCTAACGAAAACAGCCTCAAGTTCCTCAGACTTTCCTCATAAGACCTTCCCTCCATACCAGGCAACATCCTGGTAAATCTCCTCTGCACCCTTTCCAATGCTTCCACATCCTTCCTATAATGCGGCGACCAGAACTGTACGCAATACTCCAAGTGCGGCCGCACCAGAGTTTTGTACAGCTGCAACATGACCTCATGGCTCCGAAACTCAATCCCTCTACCAATAAAACCTAACACACCATACGCCTTCTTAACAACGCTATCAACCTGGGTGGTTACTTTCAGTGATCTATGCACATGGACACAGAGATCTCTCTGCTCATCCACACTACCAAGAATCTTACCATTAGCCCAGTACTCTGTATTCCTGTTACTCCTTCCAAAGTGAATCACCTCACACTTTTCCGCATTAAACTCCATTTGCCACCTCTCAGCCCAGCTCTGCAGCTTATCTATGTCCCTCTGTAACCTGCAACATCCTTCCGCACTATCCGCAACTCCACCGACTTTACTGTCATCCGCAAATTTACTAACCCATCCTTCCACGCCCTCATCCAGGTCATTTATAAAAATGACAAACAGCGGTGGCCCCAAAACAGATCCTTGCGGTACACCACTAGTAACTGAACTCCAGGATGAACATTTCCCATCAACCACCACCCTCTGTCTTCTTACAGCTAGCCAATTTCTGATCCAAACCGCTAAATCACCCTCAATCCCATGCCTCCGTATTTTCTGCAATAGCCTACCATGGGGAACCTTATCAAACGCTTTACTGAAATCCATATACACCACATCAACCGCTTTACCCTCATCCACCTGTTTAGTCACCTTCTCGAAGAACTCAATAAGGCTTGTGAGGCACGACCTACCCTTCACAAAACCGTGTTGACTATCCCTAATCAAATTATTCCTTTCTAGATGATTATAAATCCTATCTCTTATAATCCTTTCCAACACTTTACCCACAACCGAAGTAAGGCTCACTGGTCTATAATTACCAGGGTTGTCTCTACTCCCCTTCTTGAACAAGGGGACAACATTTGTTAGTCTCCAGTCTTCTGGCACTATTCCTGACGACAATGACGACATAAAGATCAAAGCCAAAGGCTCTGCAATCTCCTCTCTAGCTTCCCAGAGAATCCTAGGATAAATCCCATCGGGCCCAGGGGACTTATCTATTTTCACACCTTCCAGAATTGCCAACACCACCTCCTTATGAACCTCAATCCTGTCTAGTCTAATAGCCTGTATCTCAGTATTCTCCTCGACAACATTGTCTTTTTTCTGTGTGAATACTGACAAAAAATATTCATTTAGCGCCTCTCCTATCTCTTCGGACTCCACGCACAACTTCCCACTACTGTCCTTGACTGGCCGTAATCTTGCTCTAGTCATTCTTTTATTCCTGACATACCTATAGAAAGCTTCAGGGTTTTCCTTGATCCTACCTGCTAAAGACTTCTCATGTCCCCTCCTGGCTCTTCTTAGCTCTCTCTTTAGGTCCTTCCTGGCTAACTTGTAACTCTCAAGCGCCCTAACTGAGCCTTCACGCCTCATCTCTACATAAGCCTCCTTCTTCCTCTTGACAAGAGATTCAACTTCTTTAATAAACCACGGTTTCCTCGCTCGACCACTTCCTCCCTGCCTGACAGGTACATACTTCTCAAGGACACGCAGTAGCTGTTCCTTGAACAAGCTCCACATTTCAATTGTGCCCAGCCCCTGCAGTTTCCTTCTCTAAATCTTGCCTAATCGCCTCATAATTGCCTTTCCCCCAGCTATAACTCTTGCCCTGCGGTATATACCTATCCCTTTCCATCGCTAAAGTAAACTTAACCGAATTGTGGTCACTATCACCAAAGTGCTCACCTACCTCCAAATCTAACACCTGGCCTGGTTCATTACCCAGTACCAAATCCAATGTGGCCTCACCTCTTGTTGGCCTATCTACATACTGTGTCAGGAAACCCTCCTGCACACATTAGACAAAAACTGACCCATCTAAAGTACTCGAACTATAGCGTTTCCAGTCAATATTTGGAAAGTTAGAAGTCCCCCATAACAACTACCCTGTTACTTTCGCTCCTATCTGGAATCATCTTTGCAATCTTTGAGAATTTTGAAAGGAATTCATAGGGTAGATGAAATCTTTACTGCCCATGAAGAGTTGCAGACAAACCCATATAATCTTACAATCGGAGCTAAATCATTTTGGAGAGAAACTCTTTTCCATAAAGTGTAGAACACCTTCTCTCAACTAATAGTTTGAAATGTGCTTGATTGGATTTTTTTCTTGCTGAGCGTATTACAATCTGCCGAGGCAGATGGTGGAGTTGAGATACATATCAGCCTTGATCTCATTGACTGAAGTAGCAAGCTAGAGGAGCTGAATGGCTTATTCCTGTTCCTATGTTCCTTTATCTACTGTGGTCCTATTTGTTGCAATGTATTCACATCTTCAGCTGAATTTATTAACATAATTTTTTAAAAACGTTGTTTTAAGATAGCTATGAATAAGGATAAGTCCAACCTTGTAGGAAGATACTAAATGGAGTGGAGGGGGTGGGGGGAGGGAGGGAGATATATAGAGAGAGAGAGGGCAAATTACTATTATTAGGCAGGAGCTAGGTAGTGTTAATTGGGAGAAGCTGTTATCGGGCAAGCCTACATTTAACATGAGGGGAATGTTTAAAGACCTACTTGATGAGAGTTCAGGACCAGCATGCTCCAGTAAGGAGGAATGACAAGGATGGCAAGGTAAAAGACCCTTGGATAAAGAGGGAGGTTGTGAATTTAGTTAAAAGAAAAAAAGAAATAGATGTAAGATTTAGGAACCTAAAATCAGACAGGGCATATAAAGAGCATAAAGCAGGAAAGAACTTGAGCAGGGAATTAGGAGAGCAAAAAGGGATCTTGGTAAGTAGGGTTAAAGAAAATCCCAACGCATTCTATACGTACATCAAAAACAAGAGGATATCTAGGAAGAAGGTAGGACCACTCAAGGATAAAGGAGGGAACTTGTGCTTGGAGGCAGAGGATGTGGGTGAATCCTAAATGAGTACTTTGAGTCAGTATTCACCCAGGAGAAAGATATGGAGGATAGTGAGATTTGTGTGGAGCATGCTAATATACTAGGGCATTTTGAGATCAAGAAAGAAGTGGTGTTGAATCTCTTGAAGAGCATTAAGGTGTATAAGTCTACCCCAGGTTATTGAGAGAGGCAAGAGAGGAGATTGCTGGGCCTTGACCAAGATCTTTGTATCCACGCTAACCACTGGAGAGGTCCCGAAGGACTGGCAAGTAGCTAATGTTGTTGTTCCTCTGTTCAAAAAGAAAAATAGGTATAATCCAGGAAACTATAGACCGGTGAGTCTCCCATTGGTGTTTGGCAAAACTATTGGAGAAAATTCTTGAGGATAGGATTTACATGCATTTGGAAAAGCATGGTCTAATTAGGGACTGTCAGCGTGGCTTTGTGCATGGCAGGTAATGTCTTACTAACTTGATTGAGTTTTTGAAGGGGTAACAAAGGTGATTGATGAGGGTACAGTAATGGATGTTGTCTGCGTGGATTTTAATAAGACTTTACACAAGACCCCTCATGATAGGCTCATCCAGGAGATTAAGATGCATGGGATTCACGGTGACTTGGCTACGTATATTCAGAATTGGCTTGCCTATCGAAGACAGAGGGTAGTGGTGGAAGGATGTTTTTCAGGCTGGAGGTCATTGAATAATGGTGTTCTGCAGGGATCTGTACTGGGACCTCTGCTGTTTGTGATATATGTAAATGACTTGGATGAAAATGTAGATGGATAGGTTAGTAAGTTTGTAGACAATACAAAGATTGGTGGAGTTACGGATAATGTAGAAGGTTGTCAAAGGATACAGTGCGATATGGATCAGTTGCCGATATTGGGTGGAGAAATGGCAGATGGAGTTTAATCTGAGTTAGGTGTGAGGTGCTGCACGTTGGGAGATCCATGTTTAAGGAAAGTATGCAGTTAATTGCAGGACACTGAACTGCATTGATGTACAGAAGGATCTTGGGGTTCAAGTCCATAGCTCCCTGAAAGTGGCCATGCAAATGGATAGGGTGGTAAAGATAATGTATGGCATGCTTGCCTTTATCGGTCGGGGAATTGAGTACAAGAGCCAGGATGTCATGTTGCAACTTTACAAGACTTTGGTTAGGCCACACTTGGAGTATTGCATTCAGTTCTGGTTGTGACATTACAAGAAGGATGTGGAGGCTTCAGAGAGGGTGCAGAAGAGGTTTACTAAGATGCTACCTGGATTAGAGGGCCACAGCTATAAGGAGAGGCTAGAAAAACTCGTTATTTTCTCTGGAGCAGCGGAGGCTGAGGGGAGACTTGATAGAAGTCTATAAATTTGAGGTGCATCGATAGGGCTGACAGTCGGAATCTTTTTCCCAGAGTTGAAATGTCTAAAACTAGAGGGCATGCATTTAAGGTGAGAGTGGGGAAGTCATAGGCAATGTCAGGGGCAAATTTTTTAAACAAAGTAGTAGGAGTCTGGAACGTTCTTCCAGGGGTGATAGAGGAAGCAGATGTGATGGGGCCATTTAAGTGACTTGGATAAGCACATGAATATGCAAGGAATGGAAGGATATAGACTAGGGCAGGCAGAAGGGTATTTAATTTGGCATCATGTTGAGCACAACATCATGGGCTGAAGGGCCTGTTCCTGTGCTGTACAGTTCTGTATTCTATGTTGGGACTGAAAAATAAGTCTGTCAGTAATCGAGGTGTCATATCTTTTAGAGCCTGTATGCAGTGGACTATGTCGTTTGAATGTATATTCAAGATATTACTGAAAAGGGAAAATAGAACCATGAATGTTAGTGTGAAATAATATAATGTAATGTCATGTTTTTATTTTGACATTCCACATCAGTCCTCAATGGCATTAAACATTTTTCTTTTAAGATATTAATTTGTTAATTGTTTCAACATGTTTGCAAAGTTACACACATCAGTTGCTGAGTGTGGGACCTTGGGGACACCACTGACATCTTCCATGGTGAAAACACCTGATTTATGTGAAAGAAAAGGAAGAGAATTTCAGTTTCCTCAGGAATCCCCGGTGCTGGAGACCTCTACATCTGGTGAGCAGTGACTGGTCTATAATTGTATCTGTTCTGAAAGGCATGACTGAATGAGTCGAATGGCCTAAATTTAATAGGCACAGAAATTATAGAGGCTAATGAGATTGAACAGAGCTAAATTGTTTTCTTCATAAACAGTACAATATTGGTTCAGCTAGAATCTAGAACTAGAATTAGTTTAACCAGTGGGATCTGGAGTGCAGGATTTGCTTCCTTTTCTTTCATTCTCTCACCAGTCTGCCTCGCAGTGACTGAGCTTGATGGATAAATTATCACCATTTTGAACCATCAGTAGCAAAGTCTTCTCGGTCATTAATGGCACTGTGCTTCAAGGAAATTTTCAGAGTCATTGTAACATTTCTTTTGTCCTCCCCTGGAATATTAACCATTTGAGAGTTGAGAAAAGAGTTGCTGGCAGGGGAGAGTCTTTTCAGCACTCTGGCACAGTGCCCTATCTGTCAATGTTGATTTTGCAGGAGTTTTACCTGAAGCCAAGTGGAGCTGGCTTCAAGAAGGGCACTAGCGTTTGCACAACTGTCCTTCTAATGAAATATGGAGGATGCAGTAGAGGCATTGCTGAGGAATTTGTCGTGTTTTTATATGTCGCTGATACAGAATGCAGCTCTAACAGCAGTTCCACAGTGTGGTGCTGACAACTACTCGGGCCTCTGTTTACAGGAAGAGCCTTTATTGTTACACTGACTGCTGTAGTTTGTAGAAGGCTTTTCTGTCCCAGCTGATGTGATGTCGGATCTCCGCAGGCAGCCTTTTGAAAGAGTGGCTACCAAGGTGTGGGAAGTGCTCAACATACTCCAGTGTCTCTCCTTCACCATATAGATGCAAATTATAAATACATAAGGCAACATGTATTTTACAGTGGTATTTTGAAACAAAAGAAATGAATAGCCTTTGAAAGATTCTTTCTAATTCAAGTGCGCAATTCAGTCCACTCCAGCAACTACAGGAAGATTTTCTATCAGTTCATGTCGTCATCTTGTTAATTAATCCAACATTTGATTTAATAATTCCATAATTAAGTATAATATCTCTCATGGACCTTGAATTTTAGAATTCAAAATGTTCAAACAATAACATGCAATTAATCAGCAAGATTCCAAATTTTTGTCTGAAACTCTACCTGGATGTGAAAGGAAACCTGCCATAATGATTTTCCTTAAAAATATTGATCAAGCTGAAGAAAAATTTAAGACTGGGGTAGTGCCAAAATTCAGTTTTGAAAGCAGAAGTAACGGTTTATGCATATTCCTGTGATCAAAGTGCGCAATATTATTTAGATTCTTGATAAGAACCTTTTTTCTCTGAAGGTACATGTATTCCATTCTTTATTTTTATTTTTGCCTTGCAGCTCCCAATAGTTTTTTTATCGCATTTTCTCTTTTAGTTGCCTAGTCCTATCCTGTTTAATAGGCTTCCATTGCAACACTTCTTCCTAACACCCCATCTGATCAACTTGCCTTCCTTTCAAATCTATCATTCTCCTCCTTCAAAATTGTACAACCTTTCTACCTATTCTGCCCCAAATTCAACCCTCCTTTCATTTCAAGTCCTTGAATGTATTGTAGCCTCTCAATGTGTGCCACTTCCTCCTGTACTTCAGCTTAAATCTTTCTAATTAGATTTTCAGCCTTGGAACAACCCTTAGAAATCATTAATTAGATGTCGTAAAAATGGTGTACATTATCCCTTTGCAGCTTTTGACATGATTAACCATAGCATCTTCTTTAAAACCTATTCTCCGTTTTCCGGATCATTGGGATTGCCTTTTTGCACGGTTGATCATGGGTGAGTAAATCCAGCAATAGGTTCCATTCTTGGCCCTGCATTGTCAAGTCTGGATTCGCTCCAACACCCTAAGCCAAAAAAAATTCTCAGCCCCTTCCTATTCCTTGCTGTCCCTTCAGCACATCATCTGCAAACACAGGAACATATATATATATGTTAAAAGCATGCAGTTTTGCTCTTAGATTCTGAAGTATTATTGAAGAGAGGCTCCAACAGAGGAAATGTCACTGTCACATAATGGGAAGGCTAGAGAAATTGAAATCGGAACATAGAGTCAGGTTCAAGATGCTGTTGTAGGTATAAAAGAAGATCCCTAAACTAACCTCCAAAACACAGGAAAGTTTGTGCTTGGGAAAATTAATTTAATGACCTTGTTCCTGTGTGTAGAAAAGTCAGAAATTATTGCAATTTTGTGTAACAAAAAAAAAGGTAGGGTAGAGCGTACCAATCATATTATTTTGTATTGAGGGATAATATATTCTTTTAGCATAGAGGGGAAACTAAGGATTGCCTATCTCTTATTTTAGAACTGACATGCAAAATATTCAAATTCCAGCCAGACGGTAGTTTTTTAGATTCGAAGACATTAATTTGCTGTTCAGGCAAGATTGTTTCATCAGGAGAAAAGTAGCTTCTCGTATGACTATTCCAGAAAGTGGAACACTGAACAGAGGGTTCTGAATAAAACCAGGACATTCAGTACACAGTTCACATCTGCTCTGTTTTTCTTGGCTTTGTGTCATATTTCACAGAAAGATGCTGGAATGTGTAAATATCAGAGCCAGAAATCTGCAGTCTCATCATTCATCAGTGTATCCTTTGATTGCAGTGGTCTCTTTGGTGACTTCTATAAGAATCCCATTGTGTAATTGCTACTACTTAGTCTTTGCACTGTCATGGACAGCTTGCTTATATTTTAAATAGGAAACCAGAACCAGAAGTATTGAAATAGAATGATAGAGCACAGAAAGAGGCTATTCAATCCCAGTGTGCCTGTGCTGACTCTTCCGTAAGCTAGTTAGTACCTGCCCTATGCCTGCCCCAAAACACTTTTTTTTCCCTTCAACATTTATCCAATTCCCCTTTGAAAATTACTCTTGAATTTTTTCCCACCCTTTCATGCAGTACATTCCAACATTTATTCTACATTCCAACATTTATTCTATGAAGATCTCTGCTTTTTCCCAGCTTCTCATCCCTGGTACCAGTTAAAGAAGCCTCAGCCTATGCAGTTTTCATGAAGTGCTGCACCCAAATTTAGCACCCTACTCCAGCCTGGGTCTAAGCAATACTTTTGCAAACGTTTCTGTACTCTTAGCCTCCAATAAAACTAAGGTACAGTATGCTTTTTCAACAGAAATCTCAACTTGTTCGACCATCTTCAAATGTATATACGTATAGCTCTAGGAGTTGTCTTCTCTTGCACGACTATTTAAAATTATGCCATTGCATTTATACTGACTCTCTTCGTTCTGATTATTAGCATAAAACAAACTTTGTTTTAACCAGCACTCAATAAACAGGCAAAAATTATATACCTCAAATACTGCAAACAGTTACTTTAGTTTTTAGTTTATTTACCTCAATGTAAATATACTTGTTTAATCGAAGGGCCATACGAAATATCAACAGTTGATTCAATTTTGAGTCAATTTCTCCTCAAATACTGCGATCTATCGCAATGTCTGAGTAGTCAGTTGAGAATACAAGTGAGAAGGCTCTCTGCCAGTAAATTTTACTTAAGGCAGAGTTGCATTATAATTTGTGATTTATGCTTAAATAAAGTATAACAGTGATATGTATGCCTCCTAAGTTACTTAGTTTGTGTTTTAAATTGATTATTTGGACCTCTTGATTGTCAGGAATATTTGATCAACAGGCACGCTCCTGGTCCCATAGGTGCCGGTTAATAAAAAGTTTGCTCTATATAATTTTTACCTTTCACCTGCCTGCCCATTTCACCAGTGTCTTCCTGACATTTGTTACTTTCCTTCTCACTGTTTACTGCATTTGAGGCTTTATGATCTGCAAACTTTTAAATTATGCTTTATTTACCCAAGTCCAGATCGTAAATATGCATCAAAAGGAGCAAATGAATTTGATACTATTCCATCAAGGACATCAGTGCTCTCAGACTTCCAGTGTGAGAAACAAACATTTATCCTCAGTTTCTGCTATATGTCCCTTATCCAGTTTTCTATCCACACTGCCACTGTCCCTTCAGTTCCTTGGGATTTAATTTTGCAAGTCCATGTACACAGCAAGTGAACCAGCCTCATCACCTTTCTCATTTAGGTCATCTAAGAAGCTTAATTAAACAAGAGGTTATCAAGGCTAGGAGGCTAGGAACACATGAAGAAAGGACGGAATGCAAGGACAGTTGAAAGAAACTTAAGCAAGGAGTCAGGAAGGCTAAAAGGGGTCATGAAAAGTCATTGGCCTACAGGATTAAGGAAAGTCCCAAGGCTTTTTATACATATATGAAGAGCGAGAGGGTTGGCCCACTCAAGGACAGGGAAGGGAATTTATATGTGGAGCCAAAGGAAATGAGCAAGATATTAAATGAGTACTTTGCGTCAATATTCACCATAGAGAAAGACTTTGTGGGTGATGAGTCTGGGGAAGGGCGTGTAGATAGTTTGGGTCATGTTGAGATCAAAAGGGAGGAAGTATTGGGGGTCTTGAAACACATTAAGGTAGATAAGTCCCGAGGGCCTGATGGGATATACCCCAGAATACTGAGAGTGGCAAGAAGGAAATTGCTGGGGCCTTGAGGGACATCTTTGTATCCTCACAGGCTACACGGGAGGTCCCACAGGATTGGAGAATAGCCAATGTTGCTCCTTTGTTTAAGAAGTGTGGCAAGAATAATCCAGCTATTTACAGACTGGTGAGCGTTACGTCAGTGATAGGGAAATTATTCAAGAGGATTCTTTGAGACAGGATTTACTCCTACTTGGAAATAAGTGGGCATTTTAGTGAGAGACAACATGGTTTTGTGAAGGGGAGTTCGTGTCTCACTAACTTGGTTGAGTTTTTTGAGGAAGTGATGAAGATGATCGATGAGGGTAGGGCAGTGGATGGACTTCAGTAAGGCCTTTGATAAGGTCCCTCATGGCAGGCTGATACAGAAGGTAAAGTCGCACGGGGTCAGAGGTGAGCTTGCAAGATGGATAAAAAAACTGGCTTGATCATAGAAGACAGAGTGGAAGGGTGCAAATCTGAATGGAGTGCTGTTCCTCAGGAATCACCTTTGGGACCTTTGATATTTGTAATATATATAAATGATTTGGAAGAAAATGTAACTGATCTGATTAGTAAGTTTGTCGATGACACAAAGGTTGGTGGAATTGCAGTTAGCAATGAGGACCATCAAAGGATACAGCAGGATATAGATCGGTTGGTGACTTGGGCAGAGAGATGACAGATGGAGTTTAATCCAGACAGATGTGAGGTAACGCATTTTGGAAGGTCTAATCCAGATGGAAAATATACAGTAAATAGCAAAACCCTTAAGAATACTGATAGGCAGAGGGATCTGGGTGTACAGGTACACAGGTCACTGAAAGTGGCAACGCAGGTGGAGAAGGTAATCAGCAAGGCATACAGCATGCTTGCATTCATAGGTCAGGGAATTGAGTTTAAAAATTGGCGGGTAATATTGCAGCTTTATAGAACCTTAGTTAGGCCACATTTGGAACGTTGTGTTCATTTCTGGTCGCCACACTATATCCGAAGGATGTGATGGCTTTGGAGAGGCTACAGAAAAGATTTACCAGGCTGTTGCCTGGTATGGAGGGCATTAGCAATGAGGAGAGGTTGGAGAAACTAGAGTTGTTCTCACTGGAATGACAAATGTTCAGGGGCGACCTGATAGAGGTCTACAAGATTATGAAGAACATGGACAGAGTGGACATTCAGAAGCTTTTTCCCAGGGTGGAAGAGTCAGTTACTAGGTGCCATAGGTTTAAGGTGCGAGGGGCAAGGTTTAAAGGTGATGTACGAGGTAAGTTTTTTTACACAGAGGGTGGTGAGTGCCTGGAACTCGCTGCCAGGGGAGGTAGTGGAAACAGTTCTGATAGAGATTTTTAAAGGGCCCCTTGACAAATACATGAATTGGACAGGAATAGAGGGATAAGGTCCCCGGAAGGGTAGGGGGTTTTAGTTGTGACGGACAGCATGTCAGTGCAGAATTAGAACATAGAGAGGGCCAAAGGCCCTGTTCCTGTCCTGTAATTTTCTTTGTTCTTTGTTTCCAAAAGGTCAACCTGAAATTCATATGGCTGACAAGAAACAAAGCTTTTACAGTGTTTTGTTTAATAAAACGTTGAGAATTTGGACATACTGTATTCCACTTGCCAGTGTTTTAGCACATCACTACAAAGAGTAAGTTCTATCATATATAAGAATATTGTCAACTGTTGAAATCAGGGGTTGTATGTGTGCCTGTTCTACAGGTGAAAAGATGATGCCTACTGCAGGAATTTTGAAGCTGTCTGATAAGATTGTGGATGCTCTTGGAAGTGATGGCATTGGACAGCAATTAACATCCATTCAAATACAGCTAATTAGGACCATGATACAAGAAACTTTGGAGGATTACAAGTAAGTAATGTTGAGACTAAAGAAACTTGAGCAAGATAACAAGCCCATTGAAAAGTTATGTTGCCTAGAAGGAACTGGAAATAAATATGAATTTCTTTATTGTGACAAATTTGACAACTAGTGTTTCAGAAGGAAAAGTGATAAAGAAGCTCATTAATTTAGTTGTTGTTCACCATGTTCTGTTTCACTCTAGAACTGTTTTAACTTGATAAAAGTATGCAGAGAGTTTATGGTACTGAAATTCTGATGTTTCTGTTTATCTAATCCAGAGATGCATGGCATCGAGATATCATCAACCTCCAGCTGGAGATGATCAAGCAATTCCAAATCCAACAGGTATTCAACACTAACTGAACTGCTGTTCTTGATTAGTAGCATAATAGCATTGTGACCAGATTGTTTATGTTAGTGAACCAAAGTGCACTTGGAGGTGACTGTACTAGTGACTGAATTTCCCTGAGGCAGGTGCTGAGGAATATAGGGCTGTCAGTGGACCAGCATAAATTAAATTTCCAGAAGTACTTGAAACATGCAGGTGATCTCCAGCGTGCCTGTGTTGAACCATGAAGAACACATTCTGAATTTGAAATAGTCCAGATTAGCTCATTTTACCTTGTTAAAAAATGGTAAATGGTGTACCTATGCAAATATCCTGCTAGTCTGATTTAAACAGCTTGTTGTTGAAATATTAGACATGAGTGCTGTTTGTGTTTTAGTTAGGCATTGCCTGAAAGAATTGAATCTTTTGCAGAAATTCCTAATGTGTACTGGTGCAGGATAAAATATTTAAGCCAGTTTCCATGGTATTGCTTTTTTACAACTTAACAATACTATAACCATGAAGATCAACCCAATTCTTATATCCCACCCTATACCACCCCCACCCTGTATCCTTCCTATATCCAACTGGGATATACTTCCAAGGATGCCTAGTCCAAAAGACCAGATTTCATAAACCAATGTGGAATTCTGGCCATGACAGTTTCTTTTCTTGTTCTTCCTTTTTTTCCCTGCTCGTGTGCTTGATTAAAAGCTGTTACATCTCTAACTTCTTTCAGTTCTGATGAGAGACTTTTGACTTGAAACATTAACTTTGTTGCTTTCCGTGAAGATACTGTCTGTCTGATTATATTTGGCAGCATTTTGTCTTTACTTCAGAAATGTTGAACTCAGTTGATGAATACTGGGTTGTTATGTGTTTTTCAGAGGAGCCTTATTAAAATTAAATTTGATGTTGCAAATAAAAATGATTTATTGAGTGACTGAGATTGTGCTGCAGGAGTGGAGTTTTTACTTTGAATTTCATCAAAGGACCATTGCTGTTTGTTTTATTTTGCCTGTCTACCCCTGTTGACAATTAGCTTTCTTTCCATCTAAAGTCCAAACACAATTTGCAAATACATTCTAGTTTGAGGAAAAATATGATCCACTTTGCAACATTTTGCTTTACCTAAAGAAGACTTAAAATATAGTTACACAGCTAGAAAATGAAAGACAGTACCCACAAAATGGAAAAAGAAACAAAACAGACCATCATCTCTGCTAAGCTAACATTCTGAACAGTCCGCCTGTCAAATAGTTTTCTTGTTTGGGGTAAATTATTGTGTGGTTGCCCTCCATGGGTTTGGAAGGGTCAAAAAAGTAGGTTCCGGATCACAAATTCTAACCTGTGACCCTCCCATTGTGTGTAAGCATGCCACATGACTGCTGGATTAGGTGAGAGTTTGATATCCCACCCTGTGGTTAGTGTCACTTGTTAAGGCACTGTCTAGGGTCAGTGATTGTATGTTGGTGAGGAGTTGATGTTTTGAGAGATGTAAAGAAATAGGGAACTTTGGGCTTGTGATGGAGTAGGGTATTTTCTAAGTTCAGGATTGAGTAAAGAAAGCCTTGGTCTAACAGCTGTCTGTCATGTCAGAGTTGGGAGCCCGATATTGTCATGGAATGACAATAATTGAATCATGTGTCTGTTCCCCAGCACTACTTTCTTTCATCTTACTGAATGTGAAGTTGAGCTGCCTCCAAAGAAACTTTCGGAAATATGAAAGTATCAGGAACTTTGGGCAGGCATGACAAAATATTAGAACATAGGAAATGAGAAGCCTACAACTGAAATGGAGAATGTAATGATTGAATAATAAATGATTCAGTTTTAGAGGGAATCCAAGTTGTTTGAACTACACTTTATAATTTTGTCTATTATGTTTTTTCTTGCAAAGGTATTCTTGTGTAAATTTGTCAATTGACTCAAGAAATATTGCATTGTCCTTTCAGAATGAAATCCATAGTTTACTTGAACGATATTCTATTAATGAAGCATTGGTGGCGGAAAATGAGAGATTGCGAGAAGAGAATAAAAGACTGCGAACTACATTTTAATAGTGCATTTCTGAATCCGCACTGCAGCAAGCAACACTGCTTTCTGCAACAAGGAAAGCCCAGATGGTGGACATTGTTTTATAATTAACTTGTTATTTGATTTATAAAACAGGACAGTTCCTCAGATTAGTCAGCCTTTGTTCTAATGTGAATTAATATCATTGCCTAAGATGGTTAGAATTAGTGGAGGTCTATAATTAGCTGAACTTTGAGGAAAACCTGTTGAAGTCTGATATCTAGCTACTCTTCCTTCAATAAGGACTTCTGTACACCGGAAATATATAAAAAAGGACACTATTGAAATTCAGTATATATCAGAATATAGATTGGAATAGCCATGCATTCTACGGTACTGGAATTTCTCAAGTTAACCAGTGGAAATATCACTCAAAAATTACAGTCCTCCAAATAGAAGCTGTTTGAAGTGAGGTTTTTTAAACTCTAGATCCTACTATTTTATGTTTTTGTCACCTAATGTCAGTGGCCACATGTGTTCAGATCCTTAATTTGGAATGCTTTTCAGAGGTATCTTTTGAGTTTTCAACGTACTGTATTTCGAAAACAAGGTAACAGCAGTATATTTTATGTCTATTTCTGGTCTAGGCAGAATTATCAGGACTCTGGAGAAGTGAAACTAAATGTAAAAATACTGCATCATTATTGAAAGAATGGCCTTAAGTGCCTTTTCAAATCTGGTGGATTTTTGGAATAATTTGCTCAGTCAGCAGTAAGCAGTAGTTTTGACCTTACTGTCCTTGCTTGATCTGGTATTCAGCAGTTGTCCAGAATTGAGTAATTGTTTATATTGAACCTTACATTTTTAGCACATCTGTTTTATAAAAGAATTCCTTTTGGATTTCATTTTGAATTAAGAATTAAATTGCAGTATATTTTTGATGCAAAATATACTATATTAAACATGTTAAGCAATAAATATATGAATAAGCATCGTGTGTATTTTTAAGTAGTCAAGCACTTAAATATTTGCTACTTCATGAAGGAACATTATCTTGCTGCAATGCAGCCTTTTTAACATGATTAATCATTAAAATGTTTTGACAAAAGAAATTTGGTTTTAGTGGTCATGTGTAGCTTTGAATGTTGCATTGTGTAACTTGCCTTCTGTCTTCTCAATGCTTGTCTGCACTGTATAAGGCTGGACTGTGGTAGAAGGCATGCCTCTTGCTTAGATAGGTGAAACTTGAGAACTCAATGCCATCCAGGACAAAACAATCTGTTTGATTGACATTCCCTCCCCAGTGGCATTGTGGGTCAACCCACAGCAGATGGACTGCAGCAGGTTCAGTAAGGCAGCAACTAGGGACACGCAATAAATGTTGGCCAGTCAGTGATGCCTACATCCCACAAATGAATTTAAAAACCACTCCATTCATCACTTCAAAATTCACCACAGATATGCAGTCTGTACCATCTATAAAATGTACTGCAGCAGTTCACCAAAGCTGCTTCAACAGCATCTTTCAAACTCTCAAACTCTGCTTCCCAGAAGGAAAGGGCAGAAAATGCATGCGAACTGCAGCACCTGAAAGTTCCCTTCTAAGCTACACTCCATCCCGAGTTGGAGCTACATCACCATTCTTTCATGATCATTAGGTCAAAGTCACTGAAGTCTCTTTACGACAGCCCTTAAGGGGTGTCTATATTCTGCGAGGACTGCAATCGTTCAAGAAACGGCTCACTAGCTTTTTTCAAAGGTATTTAGGTGTGGAGAGTAAGTACTGGCCTAGACATTAGAGCCCAGATTTCACAGAATTAAAGGCTCTACCAAATGCAGATTTTGTAATAAATCAGATGGATTAAAAGCACAAATGCAAACGTATATCCTGATAGCCAATTCAGAGACAATGCAAAGTGCTCAAAACTCAAATCTGATTATTTGACATAACAGAAAGACATAAAAACAGGAAAAGATGTTTGGGTAGCTCTGTTAATTAAGGTTGACAGTGCAATGGTGAGACATGATATTAGTTAAAGGATTAAATGTAAAATCCAGTTTAGGTAGAACTAAGAAATAGCAGAGCTATGTCACTTATAGCAGCTGCGTTCCAGGACTGAGTATTCAGAAATAAATTATGTACTGTGTAAGAAAGGTGGTGCAATACTCATGGGTGATTCTAATCTGCATGTAAATTTGACGAATACTGGCAAAAGACTGAAATATGAGTTCATTTAGGACTATATTAAATGACATTCTGGAGGCAACTAGTGTGCAGGCTATTTTAGACCTGGTAATCTACAAAGTAACAATTATTTAATGATTCCAATTCTAAGGGAGCCTGTAAGTAATAGTGATTATAAGATAGAATTTCATTTTCAGTTTGTGTGTGAAAGTGCGGGTCAAAAATAAATTAAGATAGTTATAAGCAACGTAGGTTAAAATCTAGGACAGTAGAGAAGCAGTTGCAGACATTTAAACAAATAATTACACTCAGTAAAGATATGTCAAGGAATAAAAATTGTAAAGAATGCATTATCTAAGATGGTGACTAGATAGATTAAGGATAGTATCACATTGAAGCGAAGGCACGCAATGATTATGATTTTATGAAGGAAGGCTCTCGAAATTTGGGGGAGAAAGAGTTTCTACAAGTATTTAAAAAAAATGGAAAGTGATTGTCAATCCTTTTAAAGGATGTAATCGGGGAATTACTGAGAATAAAGGAAAAGGACAAGTTATTGAACAGGTATTTTATATCTATTTTTGCTGCAGAAGAAACAAAAAATCCCAACAATATTTGGAAAATCAAGAGGTAAAAGACTGGGAGAAACTTTAAACAACTGTGGTCACGAGGGGAAAGGTACTTGGAAAACTATTAAGAGCCAAAGGATGACAGTTTCATCAAATCTGCATCCTTGGGTCATTTGTAGACATAGTAAATGCATTGATTGAGATCCTCCAAAAAATTTGTTAGATCTGAAAAAGTCTGAGTGGTTTGGAAAAAAATCTGCAAATGTTAATGCTGTATTCCAGAAAGGAGGAAGACAAGAACTATAGCTCAGTTTAGCCTAAGATTTGTCACAAGGCAAATGATAGAATCCAATATTAAGGAAGTTTAAAAGAATACTTAGAAAATCATGATGTAATCAGGCAGAGTCAACTTGGTTTTGAGAAAGGAAAATGGTGTTTTAATTAATTAATTAGTCATAAAATCCCGAAAGTGTGAAACAGGCCATTTGGCCCAACGAGTCCATATCGCCCCACCAAAGAACATCCCACACAGACCCATCCCCCGACCCTTTCCCTCTAACCCTGCATTTCCCATGTTTAATCCGCCTAACTTACACTACCCTGGACACTACATACAGGAGTGTAAGTTTAAATCTCTGACATACAAGAGCATTTCCTGTACTAATGAATGTCTATATCATCTTGTCTGTCATTGTGTTCTGACTTATGCACAAATCAACTTGCAAATGGACTGTCGGAACAGGCTATTGAGTTGAATGATTTGCTGTGATCATAACGAATGGTAGACCAGGCCAAAGGGCTGAATGGCCTATACTTGTTCCTATGTTCTATGTTTCTGTATTTACCCTGTAGAGACCTAATTTTTTGACTGGGCACTGGAAATGGGAAAAGGTACTGCTTTAGACCAAGGAAACTGTCAGATGATGTTTACTAAAACAAGTTACTGCAATATCTTGTGAGTTGTATATGTGTTATTTGAATATTGAGGGAGAATTCCAAACAAATCGGCACCAGATGTTTTGGCATCAGTGAACTCAACAGTAACCATGTCCTGACAATTCCTGGACAGCTTTGTGTGTGGGCAACGCACCCAGAATCATCTAGTCTGCAAACAGAAAGCATCAACCTCACTTTCTCTCCCTTCTGTATGAAGAAGTAGAAGAAAATCCTTAGTAACTAGCTACTCTCTCCCATCTTTGCATTCTGCTCTCTATCTCCTGTTAAAAGGGAAAACCATGTTTGAAGACACTGAAAGGGTGAATTCTCAACCTATGAGTGGAAGCCTAGGAAGCCGTGTATCCACAAGCAAAGAATCAGAAGGAATCGAAAGAAAATAACTCATCATTGCTGATTCACTGGCAACATCTTGGTGAATTTCTTTCATCCTTCCTATAGCATGGCAAGCAGAATTGCTTTTAAGCTATGCTCTAATTAACGATATATACAGCTCCATCATGACCCACTTGCTCTTGTATTCAATGCTTTGACTAATAAAAAAGTATCCCATATGCCTCCTTAACTACCTGTCCTGCTACCTTCAAGAATCCATCTACATGCACACAAGATCCTCTCTACTTCCTCAGGTCCTACCATTCACCATCTATTCTCTTGCCTTGTTAGTCTCCCGACGATACATCACCTCATACTTAACTGGATTAAATTCCATTTGCCACTGTTTAGCCCATCTGACCAGTCTGCTTATATCGTCCTGTAGTCTAAAGCTTCTCTCCTCCAATTTTTGCAAACTGATCATTAATGTACACAAGAAGCAGTAAGACACCCAGCATTAAATGCTATGACATCACTGGACTCAAGCTTCCTGTCACAAAAACACCCTTTAACAATCACTGTCTGCTTTCTTCCACTGAGCCAATTTTGGATCCGAGACAACAAGGTGCAGGGCTGGATGAACACAGCAGGCCAAGCAGCATCATAGGAGCAGGAAGGCTGACGTTTCGGGCCTAGACCCTTCTTCAGAAAAGGGGGAGGGGAAAGGGGTTCTGAAGTAAATAGGGAGAGAGTGGGAGGCGGATAGAAGATGGATAGAGGAGAGGATAGGTGGACAGGAAACAAACAGGTCAAAGAGGCGGGGATGGGGCCAGTAAAGGTGAGTGTAGGTGGGGAGTTAGGGAGGGGATAGGTCAGTCCAGGGACTGCAGCATGTGCAGATCCTACCAGCTCTGATTCAATTTTGGATCCAATCTGTCAAACTGCCCTGCTCTTACCTTCTTAACCACGTGATACCTTGCCAAAAGCCTTACTGAAGTCCACACAGACTACATCAATTGTATTACACTCAATTACACACCTAGTCAGCCCACTCCTTGAAAATTCAATCAAATTTGTTAGACATAATCTTCCCCTGACAAAGCTACCTCTCCAGGTGGTGATTAATTCTGTCCCTCTGAAATTTTTCCAATTGTTCCCTCGCTGCTGACGTTACATTCACTGGCCTGCAGTTTCGTGATTTATCCCTCCCATCCTTCTCACACATTGGCTGTTCTCCAGTCCTCTGGCAATTCTACTGCAGCCAGAGAGCAATTGAAAATTAATGTGAGAGCCCCTGCAATCTCTGCCCTTGTATATTTAATCGGGGCCCTGGGATTGATCCACTTTCAAGCCTGCAAAGGCCACCTCCAGTCTCTCAATGCTTATCATGCAAGTATGACACAGACCCCTCCCTAATTTCTATACCTATATTGTCTTTCTCTACAATGAATACAGATGTAAATTACTCATTTAACACCTTAGTTATATCTTCTAGCACCACACACTGAATGCCACTTTGGTCCCTACTCTTTCATTGATTATTCTCTTGCCCAAATAAAACATCTTTGAATTTTCCTTAATATCACCTGCCAGTATTTCTTCCTCCGCACCTAATTTTCCACTTGTGGACCCGACAGCCTTCCAGACTCAATATTGAATTCAATAACTTTAGGGCTTGAGCTCTCCCATGTCCTTACCCCAACACCCACACATCAGAGATAGTAGGAACTGCAGATGCTGGAGAATCCGAGACAACAAGGTGCAGGGCTGGATGAACACAGCAGGCCAAGCAGCATCATAGGAGCAGAGAGGCTGACGTTTCGGGCCTAGACCCTTCATCAGAAAAGCGGGAGGGGAAGGGGGTTTTGAAATAAACAGGGAGAGAGTGGGAGGCGGATAGAAGAGGGATAGAGGAGAGGATAGGTGGAGAGGAAACAAACAGGTCGAAGAGGCGGGGATGGAGCCAGTAAAGGTGAGTGTAGGTAGGGAGTTAGGAAGGGGATAGGTCAGTCCAGGGAG